ACTGAGAAAGCATTTGACAAAGTTTAACATCCTTTATGATGAAGGCCCTTAAAATTCTCGGGATAGAAGGAACATACCTTACCATAGTAAAAGCCATATACAACAAACCCACAGCCACTATTATTCTCAACAGTGAAAAGCTGAAAGCCTTTTCCTTACTCTAACAGGATGGTCCCCAGGAAAAGGGGAGGTTCCAGGTTTCCTGCCCCACCCAAGGAAGGGTGGAGCTGAACAGGGAGAAGAAGCTGCAGAAGGGATGGAGGAAGGAAGGAAGCAGGATGGAGAGCCAGAAGGAGACCTGGAGGAGGCACATGGAGCCGAGAGACACGTGAAGAAACTGCGCTTGCCTTTTGGTTGTGGACTGGGTGACACAGATGTGGGTGAGAGGCCCATAGAAAGGATAACAATGGCAGCTTTTATCTTGATTTTGATTTTGCTCTTTTCCTTCCCGACTTGTCTGGTTGTTTCTGATCCTTTTCTGTGGATCCCCACTGAAAGGTGCTTAGGACTTGTAGCAAGCTTTGGGGACTTGCTCTGGGCCAATTCTGCTTGGGTGGACTTTTACCCATGAGGGGATGGGTAACTTTTGGGTGCTTGATTTAGAAACTATATTCTTTGCCTTTCCTGTATTGTTTCCTAATTGTATTAAACTTCCTTTTCATTAAAGTCTCATATGTTTTGTGTTGATGCGGCAGATGGCAGAACCTATTTAGAGCAGGCAGGTTTGGGGGTCTGGGGTGCCCCTCTCCCTGCCCTGTAACATTACGATCTGGATCAAGACAAGTATGTCCATTCTCACCACTGCTTTTCAATATAACACTGAAAGTCCTAGCCAGAGCAGACAGACATACATGGAATCCAAATAGGGAAAAAAGAAGTAAAACTATCATTATTTGCAGACAATATAATAATATACATAGAGAATCCAAAAAACTCCACAGAAAAACTAATCAAAGTAAGTAAAGTAGCAGGGCACAAAATCAACACACGAAAATCAGTAGCCTTCCTATACGCAAACAATCAATCTGTAGAAGAAATTAAGAAAAACATCCCTTTTATAATTGAAACAAAAAAATCAAATACTTAGGAATAAGCCTAACAAAAGAGGTGAAGGGCCTATACAAAAGATACTATAAAACACTGTTAAAAGAAATAGAAAAAGAGTGCCTCCTTGGTGGCACAGCAGTTAAAATCTCAGCACTATCAAGCTATCACCAGCCAGAGTTCAACCCCTCACCCCCTGCCAGGGAGCTGACCCACATATGGCGCAGCAGACCTCTCCTGTCTAGCCGGCTACTCCCCTCAGCAGTGTGTTTCAGTAGATCTGCCTGCTCTGCTCCCCACTTTGTCTCTGGTGAATCCTCTCATCTCCCGCACCTTTGGCCAACACCCCAGTTCTTGTATGCATAAATAAATAAAAATAAATCTTAAAAAAAAAATAGAAGACGACGCAAAGAAATGGAAAGATATCTTTTGCTCTTGGATTGGAACAATTAACATTATCAAAATGGCCATCCTACCAAGAGCAATTTATAGATTCAATGCTATTCTGATAAAAATGTCAATGACATTCTTCAAAGAAATAAAAACAAATATTGATGAAATTCTTATGGAGCCACAAAAAACCTCAAATAGCCGAAGCTCTCTGACAAAAAAGAAAGAGAATGGAGCTATCACACTTGCAGACTTCAAACTATACTACTGAAACAAAAATATAGAGACCAATGGAATTGAATAGAAAACCCAGAAATAAACCCACATATTTATGGAAAGCTAATCTTTGACAAAGGAAAGGAGCAAATAATATGCAATGGAACAAGGACAGTTTGTTCAGTAAATAGTGCTGGGAAAACTGGACCGCTACTTGCAAAAGAATGAAGCTAGGCTACTACCTCACACCATGCACGGAAAAAAAAAAAAACCCAACTCGAAATGAATAAAAGAATTGAACATAGGGCCTCCCTAGTGACGCAAGGGGTTAAGATGCAGCCTATGAAACTATCCCCAGCCACTGTAGCATGAGTTAGATCCCCAGCCAGAGAGGTGACCCACATGGCACTGCAGACTTCTCCTGTCTCACCCGCTGCTCCCCTCAGCAGTGTATTTCAGTCAGTCTGCCTGTTCTGCTTCCCACTCTGTCTCTGGTGAATCCTCTCAACAACCCCCACCTCCCCACCAGTAGCCTATGTTTTGTAAAATGCCTCATATCTCAAATTTGTTTATTTGCTTCCTTGAGGTGTTATTTAACCTGTTCCAATACTCCTCATATTTCCTGCAAAATGATAGCTACAGTCAGGTTCTTTTTTTATTTTTTAAGATTTATTTATTTATGCATACAAGAACCGGGGTATAGGCCAGAGGTGCTGGGGGGTGTGAGAGGATTCACCAGAGACAGAGTGGGGAACAGAACAGACAGAGGTAATGACATACAGCACTGAGGGGAGCAGCGGGCAAGACAGGAGAGGTCTGCTGTGCCATGTGGGTCACCTCCCTGGCCGGGGATCGAACTCATGCTGCAGTGGCTGCAGGTTGCTTCATAGTGCTGTGTCTTAACCCCTTGTGCCACAAGAGAGGCCCCAAAATAAATCTTTAAAAAAAAAAGAAAGCAGGGCCTCCCCGGTGGTGCAGCGGTTGAGCGCTGGGTTGCGAAGCTGCCCGCAGCCTCTGCAGCGCCGGTTCAATCCCCGGCTGCTCCCCGGCCACCGGAGGAGGGTCCCACATGGCGCGCAGACCTCTCCTGCCACCTGCTGCTCCCCTCAGCAGTGTACTTCGGTCCTTCTGCCTGCTCTGCTCCCGGCTCTGGCTCTGGTGAATTCTCTCACCCTCCCGTACTTCTGACTGTACCCAGTGCATGTATAAACAAACAAACAAACAAATAAATAAATAAAAACATGCCTCTATAAAAAAAAAAGATATTTTAAAAAAAAGAAAGCAAATATTGTATAGAAATGAACAATGATGTAATATGTGTGTATGTATATTTATACATATATATATAAATTATAAAAAAAAAGAAAAGAAATACATTGCTGAGGGGAGCAGCGGGCAAGACAGGAGAGGTCTACTGCACCATATGTGGGTTAGCTCCCTGGCTGGGGATCAAACTCAGGCCACAGAGGTGATAGCACTGAGAGGTAACCACTATGCCACCAGGGAGACCCCCAAGGAGAACTTTGGGGAGGAAAGTGTGTTGAGAATGAAACCAGGAGGCTGGACCTTCCTGAAAAGGTCTGTGAGACGTTCCCAGTTACAGGACTGTTGAGAACGAGTTGTTTTGCTGCCATTTAAACCTCTCTCCTCATGGCCCCCATCTGTAGGAAAGATGCTCACACTGATGCCTTTTGCAGGGAAAAATCCAGGAGAAGGTGCCAACTTCCTTGTCTCTGTCCTCACAGAGTTGAGAAATCAGGGATATCTGAAGGCGGTGAGGGGCAAGTACATTTATCTTCTCTTCTGCTCTCTTTTCTCTGGTCCTACTGACCTTTCTCTACCTCTGACAAGCCCCCAGGATTTATACTTTCTTTTTTTTTTAAAAAAAAAAGAATTATTTATTGACACATACAACAACTGGGGTACGAGCCAGAGGTGGGGTGGCTGAGAGGATTCACTAGAGACAGAGCAGGGAGCAGAACAAGCAGATCCACTGAAATACACTGCTGAGGGGAGCAGCGGGCGAGACAGGAGAGGTCTGCTGTGCCATGTGGGTTGCTCCCTGGCTGGTCGGGATCAAACTGAATTCATGCTGCAGAGGCTTCGGACAGCTTCACAGTGCTGCAACCCAACCCCTTGCGCCACCAGGGTGGTCCCCCTGGCTTTGGTCTTTTTTGTCTGTGTCATATCCCAAGTGCCTGGCAGAGAGCCTAGCACATATAGGCATTATGTAAATATCAGTTGAACGAAAGAATGAAATGAGAGTCAGTTGAGGCTCTTAATTCAGAGCAGAAATTAGCTTCCTGTAACAGACAGCTATCTCCTAGAGGTCACTGAACTTCCTGCAGGATGTGAGCTGGGGGCTAAAAGCATTCTTGGTTCTCTCTCAAAAGAACAGAGTCCTTGGCTGGCATTTGGGTTATTTGTGACATCACTCTCCTGTGCATTCCAAATCTCTAGAGAAAGGTGTTTTATCTGTTGGTTAGAAAGCTGGTAATTGCACCTGATGCAATGCTTCTTATCTGTCAGCTTCTTGGAGCCACTTTTACTACTGATAGTGGGCAAATTACTGTGGTGTTTGCATTTTGCTGTCAATTGAGTGTAAATGTCAGAATCTAGGTGTGCTTATAGGACTGACAAGTCCAAGAATCGTACTTTGCCATCTCATTCACTGAGAACTTCTGCACAAACTCCTCAGTAGGTGGCATGACTTCAAACTAAAACTTTTCTTTAACCTGGTACCTACCATTCCTTCTACAACTCTTTCCTTTTGGGAAAACTGTTAGCCATCTGCTGATAAACTTAGTGATTACAGCTTACAACACTCATTCTCTTAGTTCTGGATACAACTCCACTTTTCTTTTGGGGAGTCATCTGCCCCCTTCTTTTGGCTCTTTCAGTCAGCTCTACTTAGGATGCTAATGCTAATTCCCTTTTCTGTTCAAATCATTTTGGATTGGATTTGTCACTTGCAACAGAATTTGGAGATGATCCTTTGAGACTCACCTCAAATGTCACTTCCTTGTGAAATGCTTGCCACCCCTCATCCCCAGCTGAGTCAGTTTCTGTCAGGGTGCACTTCGGTGCCTACACTTTCCATACTGGGCTTCGTTTCTGCCTGCCTGACCAAGGACACACTGGTAGGGACCATGTGATGCTTCTCTGCAACTCACACCACCAGGCTGAACAGCCCATCGGTAGATAATCATGAAGGGGTGAGTCCAAGTGCAGCTAATGATCACCCTTGCTTTTTTCCCTCAGAGAAACCTGGCCTCCTTTCTTTTGGGGACAAGGCAAAATTATAATACAGGAACCCTGGTTGCCTTCTAGGGATCATCTCCCTTTCCTAGCATTGACAAGGACACCAGTGTTGGCAAACATATTGCTTTATTTAGTGTTTCTCTGGATTACAGAAGTGTCAGCAGTGGGCCAAGACCCCAAGGTGGACCCAGAGGCAGCTGGGCAGCCCCAGAACCTCTGAGGAAGTGGGGGAAGCAGCAGAAAAAGGTGATGCCCCTGCCGCTTCTCCCAAGGCCAGCCCCTTCCCTAGGCTCCCGGGACAGGGAGGGGTAGGTCGGGAGCAGTATGGGCCCCAGATCTTTGAATTGGGGACAACATGTGTAGGCAAGGTGTGTGCCATCCTAAGGCATGAACTTGGAAAGAAGTACTCTTCATACCTGGTGGCCCCCAAAGGTGATTGCTGGTCAGGAGCCACATGCACCTTTAAACTTGAGCCTATTTCATGGGGTCCCTGTCCCTGGGAGAGGCAGTGAGGTGTGCTATAGATAGGGCTGCAGTCCTGGCTTTGACCCAACCTGCTGGTTGACCTTGGGCAAGTCCCTTCCCTATTTGGGTCCCTGTCTCCTGCTCTGTAACACCAAGAAACTAGACTAGATGATGTCTCAGTGTTCCAAATTCTATGTCTAAGACTTTTTCCCCCACTCCAGGATGCCCTCATGCTGGATGATGATATTGAGAAGGCATTTTTAAGGCAGGAAGAGGGGGCTGCTGAGGTGGTCTCAGCCCCCACGGGGATGTTGGAGTGGACTGCAAAGGTACAGGTGTGCAGGCAGGCAGGTGGACAGACAAGGTGCCAAGGGAATGAGGACAGGGTGGCCTGGGAAGGGAAGAGGGCACTAGGGCCCAGACCACCTGACCTCTCAGCTATATTCCCTGCCCTGCTGGAGTCAGGGAAAACACATCCAGTGTGTCTTGGGTGGGAAAATGGCTTTTTTAAAAAATAGTTTCCTATAAAGCATCAAAAAATCTCAGAGAAAACCTCAGCAAAAGTTCCCTTCTTTCAAATATTTGGCATTGGCAGTGGGGCTGGCATGGCTGGCTCTGGCCCCGGCTTTCCTATTGCTATGGCCCGGCCTGGCCCACTCCTGGGGCAGCTTCCTGGGCCCCACAGCTCCCTCAACAGAGCAGTGAGTAGAGGTGGGAGTTTGTCAGTGGGCTTTGAAGTATCCCTGGGTCCCTGTCTGGAAGCTTGAGTCTTTGGTAACTGGGAAGGGGCAGAGGGGATAAGCAAAGCATTGGGAGGTGGGAGGAGTCCAGGGGGTGCCTTCATCACCGAGAGTTCAGCCGTGGTGCCACCTGTGGGGGTGGAGAAGGCCAAGTGGCGAGCGGGAAGCAGACAGAAGGTGGTTCAGGCATTTCTTTTCCCTGGTTAGATACATGTAGCAGCAGTCTGGGGAACACCCTGGCCTCCATCCTGGATACCCAGATCCCAAAATAATAGGAATCCCTTCCCAGCCAGAGTGGGCCACTTCTCCCACCCAGCACAACTGTAGTCCCCCTAGGTTGTCCTTGCTTCCCCATGCTGCCATCTTTACGACTCTCTACATTGTGGAGACACATGTGGCCTTCTCTCCAGCCCTCAATGGGCAGTGGGGTGAAGGGGGCAGTATAGTGCCCAAACACAGCAGAGGAAGCCTTGGTGCCAGAGGCTCCACTCTAGCCCTAAGGCTGTCAGCAAGGAAGCAGGTGGTATCTGCCAGGCCCCACTCACCACAGCCAGGTGCCCATTCTTGGCCTTGGTGATGAGCAGTTCTGAGCCAGGCGTGAAGTCGATAATGCCATCTCTGCCAGGGCCCCCTGCAAAGGTGATGCTGGAGGGAAGGGAGTGGGTGAGTATGGGTGAGTTATGCCCCTATGAATATGTGCCTCCTACAACCCCTAACCCCTCACCTGCCCTGGTTGATGTTGATGTTGTTCACCCGGTCAGCACTGAGGGCCGTCTTGGTCAGTGTTTCAATCACATGGTCACTCTGCAGAACCACATCGCCCTGGGGGGCCCAGATCCAGGAGGGGTGAGGCCCTATTCAGAGCTAGAGAACCCACCCCCACCCCGCCTCCCAGTTCCCAACCTTCTGTTTATTGTCTTCACGCTGTACGTGCAGCACAAAGAGGCTGTCACTCAGACTGCTGACAGAGATTCCTGAGGGGGAAGGTCAGAGGTCAGAGGTCAAGGGTCAGAGCAAGGTCCTCCCTATTCAGCCCCTAGTCTGGCTTACCGGTTAGGTTGGCATAATCGATCCTCTGCTTGACTTTGGCGTCCTCTACAATGACCACGGCGTTGGGTGTCAGCAGCAGCTGCCGGGACCGGGGCTTGTAGCCCTTTCGGTCATATTTTACTACAGGCACTGCATACTGTGGACAGAGGGCAGGGCAAGGGGCAGGCTGAAGGGATTCCAGGGGTAACTCCCTCACCCTCTGCCCATGCCCTAACTCCTTCCACCCCACCCCCACCACCCCCAGCCCTTGGGCAGCAGAACCGTCCAGTTCTCACCTGAATGGGCTCAGAGCCTAGGGCCTGCAGCACTTTGGGGCTGATCTCATCTGCACCTGCAACCCAGATGGGGGACAGGGACGTTGGAGGAGAGAGGGGACTCAGATGGCGATGGCGGGTGTCAGCACTGGAAAGGCAGGAGCTCACCAAGCCGTGTGTTGATGAAGAGCCTAGGGACACTCTGAGGGTAATTGTCCTTCTTGCCTTTGAAGATCTCACTAGCTACCGCTTTTTGCTGCAGCTAAGAAGACACAGGTGGGAAAGGGGTGGGGAACATCATGAGGTGGGGGGCCAGTTTCTAGAACCAAGACAGTCTCCATCATACTCTGGTCCCAGCAGCAGGAGGCTGAATCCTGCGCCAAAACTCCCATAAGCCCCTGTGGGAGGCCTGCTCTGCCTTATCCCCACCCCCGACCAGACAGTGCTCTCTCCAAAAGGGCGGTGACAGCATTGTGAGGGTCCAGGTCTGACTTTGGGGATAATTCCCCATCAAGCCTTGAAGTCCCAGAGATTCAGCTCTAACCTGAGATCCTGAGGTTGCCAAGGCACCTATCACTACAGGTTACTACAGGTTATCTGAGCTGGGCTGGTCCTTCAGTATCACCCAATACTGAGTTGGGACAATGACCACCAATGTCTGTCTCTAGAACAATGCAGACATTCCAATCAATCAGAGTGAAACAGCAGCCTTTTCCACACAGGGCTCTGGGCACCTCTCTCAAAGCAGTGGAGCTGCCCCAGAAGACGAGCTCTATTTGCCACCCGGAATCTACTCTAGCCTCCGCTTCATCCATGAGGCCAAACAGGGGTGGGGATCCATTTGAGGTGGCATGGTGAGGGGCAAAGTACCACCTCAGGCCATCACTCTTCTGCTGCCCGCTGTTCCCCCTACCCCACTGGCTTGTTCACGCATGTCTCCTGGCTCTCCATACCTGCTGCTTCCACTCGGGCCTGATGTTCCGGCAGTACTTCCACACCATGTTCTTCATGCACAGCTCCCGTAGAAGTTCTGAGGCCTATGGGGAGGAGTGAGGTAGCGCGCCTACCCAGACAGCCAGGCTCCCTTCTGTCTAAAGGCAAAAGGTAAATGCCTCCTCCATGGCCCAGTCCAGCCCTCCTGGCTAATCCTAGTGGTTCCAAAGTGAGCAGGGAGGGCCCATAGACCTCACCTCACGCAGAGCAGGGGGGGGTGTGGGCCAGGAAGTGTCTAGGACATTCCTTGGCAGCTGCCGCCTTAGGTTGAGCAAAAATGAGGTGCGCACGTGGTCCAGGAAGAAGGCATTCTCGGGGCAACGTGGTGCGTGGCGCAGGATAAAGCCACGGATGAGCCTGGTGGATCCAACAGGGGTGCAGGTGAGAAATATGGCAACAGGCCCCCACACAACTACTGCTCTACAACCCCTTGCTGTGCCCTAGTACTAACCTCCGGATTGTCTGTGCTGCCCACTTCCTCTTGGCGGCCTTCCTCCGGCCCAGCGTTCCACGCCACCAAGACTGGATGCAGATGGCTATGAAGACCACAGATCACTGATCTATGTCTCCTCACCCCAGTGGCCTGCCCCAGCCCCTCCCTCTTGAATACCCCAGGGCACCCAAACCTGATCGCTTCACCCGGAGGAACTTCTGCCGCCAGTGGAAACCCCTCCAGGTGGCCTGGATCTTCGTAGCTGTAGTTAAGAAAGTCAATTGGCCAGAGCTCTGAGGAAGCAGCTGGGGTGGAGGGATGGGGGGAAGTTGGCACTGTCAGAACTCACTAGTGGCATGAATGAGGGAGTGGTTGAACAAGCTATTGAGTGAGGATAAATAAGTTAAGGGCAAATAAATGACAGAGAGTAGGAGGAAGCAAAGGAATGTGGGAACACGCTGGGAGTTTGTATGGGGCAGGACAGATGGTGGGGGCTTGGACTAGGAAGGAGGAGGCAGCTGAACGTGGGTGTGGCAGGCTTCCTGGAGAAAGAGCCCAAATGCAGTGATTTCTTTCCTGCTCCCCAGAAGGGACACCACTGGGACAGGAAGGGTGGGGCCTCTCACCCAGGCTTTGCCGCCGAACCTCCAGGGCATCCTCTGTGGCAAACAGGGTTTTGGGGAAGCGGATGAAGATCTTCGTCCTGGGAGGGCAGCGGTGATCAGCCCCTGGTGGCCACCCCTGTGGCCCTCAGCACCAGGCATATGCACCACTCACCTGCCCATCTTGTACTCTTCTGGCTTGTAGCCAAGGTGCCTGACCAGCACAGCCACCCCTTCTTGGGGCCGTCCTGCCCATATGGGCCATGTCTCTGGGCACAGTGACTTGTACCTGGGGACAGAGAAGCAGAAATGCACCTAGTCCCTTCTCTGGGGGTACAAACCAGCTTTCCCGGGCACCTGCTGGGAACTCCCACTTGTTCACAGAAAGTCATTATTACTGTAAAGATGAGGAAAGCAGGCCTCCCTGGTGGCACAGGGGTTAAAGTCTCAGCACTTTCAAGCTACCACCAGCCACTGTGGCATGGGATTGAGCCCTGGCCAGGAAGCTACCCACATGGTGCGGCAGACCTCTCCTGTCTTGCCTGCTGCTCCCCTCAGCAGTATATTTCAGTAGATCTGCTTGTTCTGTTCCCCACTCCGTCTCTGGTGAATCCTCTCACATTCCCCTCCCCCGCACCTCTGGCCTACATCCCAATTCTTGTATGCATACATAAATAAAAATAAATCTTAAAAAAAGATGAGGAAAGTGAGGTATCCTCATCTGCCTAAGGCCACGGGGCTAGAAAGTGGCAGAGAGGGAACTCCAGACCCTAAACCAGGATAACCACAAAACTGCTATATCCTAGCTAAGTCAACTGGAAACTCTCCTCATAGACTTCTACTATCTCCTCTGGCGGCAAGCATGTGGATGTATGCCTCTCAAGGCCCCTAACCAGGTCTCTGAGGACAGGGCCTGGGCAGAGAGGCAGGGGTGTTTTTTCTACTAAGCTTGACGTTGGGGTGCTGCCGCGTGGGAGGCACTGCAGCTTGGAGGCTCAGCATCCTTTCTCTAAAATGGAGCCAGAATCCTTGTCCTCTCTCCCTCCCTCCCGGGATCTGGGTTTCTACCCTTTCACCCCCTTCCCCAGGCGCTGAGCCAGGCCCCGCCCCCACCTCTGCAGGAAAGCCTCGTATTTGCGGCGGTAGGCAAAGCCGGCTCTGCGCACGCGCAGGTTCTCCATCAGCCCTAGGTACTTCACCTGGTGCCTGATCAGCACCTCGTCAAAGCGGCCTGCGGGAGGGGTAACGGGCGGGTTAGCGTGCTGGTGACTGGAGGGAATGCCCAGCCCCACAACCCCAAGGACTGGGAGGGGCCTACTGGGCTGTTTGGCGTCATTGGGCTTGATGCAGCGGATGTAGGCGGGCTCCTTAGACCTCAGGATCTCCACCAGCTGCAGCAGACTCATCTTGAACTGGGTGGCAACCTAGGGAGCCAAGGGTGAATGGGAGGTTGGCCTGTACCCTCCCTGGGGCAAAGCTGCAGATCCTGCAGAGGCCTGTCTCTGGGGGAAATACTTACTGATTCCCACCCCCACACTTGCTTGGGCTTCAACTTCCTTCCACCACCCCTCCCTTACAATAAAAGAAGGGGCCAGACTGCCTATGCCTACCGGCATCCCTCTGTCAGGGCTAGAGACCTTAGCTTAGGAACCTCACTCCAGTCTAAAAATCCTGCGCAGGAATCCTTACAACCTCAATCCTACATCTCTCTTTGGCAACTACTCTTTCTATAATTTCAGGGTCACAGTCCTGAACACCTATGTGCTCAGTCATTATCACCGTACACCGTTTTGCAAGACTGCCAAGGCTTTCAGGCCTGTGGGAGAAGCAGACTCCTCAGCAAACACCTGTAACCCAGCCCAGTTCCATTTGTGACAAGGATGTATGCTGGGATGTTCTAGGAGCAAGAAGGAACAACCAATCCAGAACATGGAGCTATAAGCACGCAGGGATCCATGTTGGGAGTAGGAAAAACATTCTTAGAGACAGTGCCGTGAGTCACAATAGGAAGACTGAATTTTATCCTGAGGGAAAGAGGGAGACAAAGAGGAACTTGCAGAGAGGGAATGAAAGGAACAGATCTGTATTTTGGAATGTCTATAGCAGTTATGTGAATGACAGTTGGTATGGGCGACTAGGAAGCCAGGAGACCAGGGAGGATATGGGGATGGGGCTGAGGGAAAGTTGAGTTATCAGGCAGCAGAAATGGGCAAGATGCAGTGGCTTTTTGGATGAGGGAGAGAGGGGAGAGCAAAGAATCAGGGATGCTGCACAGGTTTTGGGACTGGGTGCAGGGTGATCCTTGCCATGAGTTAGGAATACAGAAGGAGCAGACCTTGGGGACAGGACAATCAAGGACCATCACAGACCACTGGAGGTGGGGTAGTGTGGGCTAGTTGAAGGATGTGTGGATCTGCAGCCTGCGGGAGAGACCTGAGCAGGAGTGGATGGATCCTTGTGGTGGGGGAGGAGAGGTAGGCACCAAGGTCACACTAAGGTACAAAAGGGGATAAGGGACAGAGGGCAGGGTCCCCAGGCATCAGCGCCATACAACACACTGTCTCCATGTCCTTCCTGCCAAACACGTCTCAGCCTGCAGCATCCTGGCTTCTACCTGCTGACCTCACTTCCTGGGACCGCCCAGGCACTCCTCTTGCCAAATTCAATAGTCACACCTTTGCACACAGTTCACTGGCATTCTTCCCACATCTGGCCACACCTGCTTTTCCCAGCCTATCTCCTTGATGATCTCTTCGGTTGACCTCCTGGTTTTTTTTTTTTTTGACTGTGTGTTGGGCTCTTTTGCTGCCTACAGTTCTTTTCCATAGGTCCACCTGACAAGCACCTACTTATTCCCAAGTTATCTCAAAATACTTCTCCTTCAGGAAACCTCTGTGGCCTTCTGACCCCCTTCACTCCTTCAGGCAATTTGCTGCTCCCGCTTCTAAGTTTCTAAAGTAGCTTGTGCACATTTCTGTGAAATCACCTCTTCATTTTTGTATCCTAAGTGTGTAGCAATGTTTGCCACAAATGTCTTCTGGGTGAGTAAATGCATTCACGCACCCACACAGACACAGGTGTACACACATGGGTCCACTCTTAGAGACAGGTGCACACATAGGCACACACACCCAGAAGCAGACATAGGATGCACAGGCAGCCTCCCACATACACACATGGATACACACACAGGCACAACAGACACCCAAGCTCACATGCGCACTGCCAATACCCAGTTCATGCAGGTACGAGTCCATGCACACCCTCAGACCCATGCCCCTGGGTCCCCTAGCCTCCGTACCGTCTCTGGCCGCTTCTTGTCACTGAGCTCGCTCCGCTCGAAGCACTGGTTCATAATGGGATTCTCAGAGCTGCACATGACCTGAGAGGTTAGAACAGGGGGTCAGGGTGGAAGCACAGGGGCAGGCAGTACAGATTCCCTAGGGCAGAGGTCCTGCAGAGCCTGAGCCCGTCCCAAGCCCGCCCTCCACTCCCATCTGCCTTACTTCCTTCAGGTTTCTGAAGAGAAGGTCATTGTTTTTATCCAGAAAACCTGGAGGAGAGAGCAGATGTGAGATGAGGAAATCCCCTTTCTCCTGCCACTGTGAAGATCTAGCCCCAGGGTCCTCACCTGTCACACTGTAGGTCACCTCCCCCGCGTAGTGCAGAAGGCGAAACTCCCCACGGTCCAGAGATTTCCTGGTGCGCTGATCAGCCAGCTTGTGCCTGGGGATGACAGGGAAAGGAAACCACAGAATGGTGACCTGAACTGTGCCCTTTGCTGCTGAAGAGACTTCAAGCAAAGAAGTAGGCATCTAGTAAGGGGCAGGATGTTCCAGGGCCATCCCACAACTCCCTGTGCCAGGTGGTAGAGAAGGAGAGCCATTAGCCTCCCTGCACAGAGGTGGCCACTGAGGCTTCAGGAGGCCTTGGCCGGGGTCCCACAGTGCCAGGGCTACTGGGACCCCAGGTCTTGGCACTGCCGGGGCACGCTGGGCAAGGGCTCATTGTTCACTGCTGTGCTGGTCCGCGGCAGGCTTACTGCACAATGACTGCGGGTTGAGCGCTGCCCACTACATTTTAAGAATGGAATTTGTCCCAGGAGATGACTCAAGTCTTATGTGTGTTTATACCCTTTAGCCCACTTTCGTCTTTTAAGAACTATTTCAAGCAACTAACCAGAGATACAGACATAGATTTAAGACACAAAGATGTTTGTGGCAGTCTTGTTACTCTAGCAAAGCCTGGAGGCTGCCCAGGGGCAGTGAGAGTAGGCATATCTGTGGGTTAGAGCCTCTGGAGAAAGTATTTTAGTTTTTTGTTTGATGATTCAGGAAAATGCCCAGGATATAATATTATTCTGAAACTTATACACAATATGTTCTCCACTAGGGGAAAAATGTATAGAAAAAGGCAGGAAGGAAATGCCTTGAATTGTTAACAGTGATGACCTCTGGGTGACAGGATTTCTAGTGGCTTATTGCATACATTCCAACTTTTCTTGAACAAACAGTATTATTTTTACAGTTAAAAAAGATTTTTAATCTACTCTTAAGCAAAAAATGCTTAGGGCTTTGGTGTTTGACAGCCCTGGGGACTGTCCCAGCTCTGTAACTTACTAGATGTGTGACAACCTGGGGCAAATGGCTTCACCACTTTGAGCCTCAATGAGCTGGAGAAAGCCCCTCGAATGCCTCCTTACAGAGCTGCTGTGGGCTAGAGGGACGAATGTGCACAAAAGACACAGGACAAAGGCGTGACCCAGGTCCTTGTCTTTGTCTCTTCCTTTCCCCACTTTAGGGGAATTCCTTAAATAAAAAGCAATTTCCAAATAAGGAAGCCAAAAAAATCTTCACAAGTTTCATTCTTAAAAAAGACTGAGGAAGCCACGCTGCTTGCTTGTGGATGTACTGCAAGCTGCTCTGTGCACCTGTCCTTAACTTAGCATCTCCTGGTGGCTGATGTTTCTGACTGTGGGAGAATCCCAAGCTTCCACTGACTGCCCCAGGCAGCCCTGCACCCCACTCACGTCAAAAAGTGTGGATGGTGCTTGACTGTGTCCTCCAACTTCTCCAGGAAGGTCAGATCAGTGGCTTCCCCAGGACGCAGACACTCCTCATCCTGGGGGATGTGGCATAGGGTGAGGGGTGTATGGGGGAAGAGGCAGGTAGCACAGAGGATTCAGGGACACAGTGCTAGGAGGCACAGACACAGGGGAAAGGGGCAGATCATGGGGCCTCCCATAGACATACACCAGGGCCTCCCATATATGGGGCCAGCACCTCAGCTCACCCTCTAACACAGCCCTGCCCTGCCCCTGTTCAGACCCAAACTCTGTGAAAAGACCTGGAAAGAAGGGAAAGGGGTGTTGTTCTCCCACCCGGCTCTCAATACAAGGCCTGGGAGGAGCAGAGGGCTCACCAAAATGGAGATGATGCCCTTGAACTTCTCCTCCACCAAGTCACAGATGATCTTGTTGTTGAAATACTGGACAGGTTCCCACTGAAGGGTAAAGGGAAGGAAGGCATCATCATGGGGGGCCTGGCACTCTCTCCAGGGATGACCGATGCCTGGGTTTTCCTTTGGGGTGTCCATAGGGGCACACCTATAGGCTTGCACTCACCGCGATGCCCTCTGCCTCATATTCCTCCTGTTCTGACTTCAGGGTGAGCTCAATGAAGAGCTGTTGCAGTTTTTCATTGCAATAATTGATGCAGAACTGTTCAAAGCTGTGAGGGAAACAAACGCAACCCAATATCTCAAGAGGGACACAGGAGAAGGAGCAGGGGGAAAAACATGACAAGGCCCCTGAGCAGCTAAGGTAAGAATCACAGAGCAGGGCCCCTGTTGGCTGAAGGAGTCATCTGCAGGAAGGAAAGAGGTAGGGGGAGGAGGAGAAGGACCCGGATGGGGGAGAAAGGAGAGAGGCGGGCAATAGACAGAGGGGCGCGCTGGGCAGAGGGACACTGACCTGTTGTGCTGAAACACTTCAAAGCCATAAATGTCCAGGAGCCCAAGGACCGTGGTGCTTCGCCAGCTGGGGCTCTCAGCATCCTAAGGCAGAGATTCAACCCAGAGCATGGGTCCCCATGTTGCCAACCTGTAACCTCCAGCCCCAGGCTGGCCTGCCCTTTCTGCTGTCTTGGAAGCAGCGAGGGCTGAGCCCTCACCTTGGAGGCCAGCGACTTGTTGATCTTCCCGACCAACCAGGTGAAAGTGCGACTGTACACGGCCTTGGCAAGAGCATCTCGTGCATAAGCAGCCTGTTCCAGGTTCAGTGGGCTCAGGAGCTGCCAGTGCAAGACAGGAGGTAAATACCACAGACTTCTTCCCATCCTGCACCCTCTCAGGCAGAACACCAGGAAACCAGGACCACTCTGTCCTCACTGCTCCCAGTGAGTCTGAGAGTTAGGGGTGATTGTGGGGGGAGCAGGCAACAAGCGAGGACATAATGGTCACAGCAGAGGGAGGGTGGTTTAGGGACAAGAGGCCTCATTCCTGAGGTAAGTGTCTCGGGTTCCAGCCTGACTGTCACCCTCTTCCCATGTGATGTGGGCCTTCCTGAGCCACCCGCCTCATGTCATCTCATCATGGCAGGAGTAGACCAGCAGAGCACACTAGGGGATGGGGAAATGATGGGCATGGGGGCTGTCTTGGGACACCTGCCTGCCCTTCCCCTTCCTGAGGCAAAGATTTGGCCTCACCTCTTCTCCCTTGGCAATGATCTTCCTGTGTGTCAGGGCTTCCCGTAACATTGAACCTTCCACACCAAGGAGCTGCCAAGAGATAGGGTGGCCATGGTGAAGGTGTATTCCCCTTCACCCCATCTTCTCTCCCTAGCCCTCTGCTCACCCCCCTCACCCTGGTCAGATACTTGAGCTGGTTCTCTGTGGTGACCTGGGCGTTGCTCTCCTCATCGGCAGCAAAGTGGATGTTGCCCAAATGCAGGACACTGGCCACAATGCTCAGCAGGTCCTAGGGGGAGGGTCAGGGGGCAGATGAGGGTTACAGGAGGGGCAGAGAGCACCATGATGGCAGCCAGTGGATGGTCAGACAGCAGGGAACAGATGGGGAAGTGAATAAGAGGAACAGGGGGCTATATGTGGAAATGGGTTGTAAAAGTGGCCTGAGATTTTCAGGTTGTAATACTCAGCAGAGGCCTCACCTCCACCTCCTCCTCAGTGAAGTCAATGACTGCCAGAGCCTTCCTGACGACCTTCCAGTCGCTCTTGTCATTGATGGAGGACACTTTGGCACACTGGCCCTAGGGGAAGGTCGAAGCTGGGTTACTAGCCCTGGCACTGTGCTCCCTGGGTAGCACTTGCCCTGCCCAGCAGCTGCATACCTTCACCAGGTACAGGTAGCTCTGGGGGTTCCGTTCCAAGCCCAGCCTGCGTAGGGTCTCCTCCTCACCCCCCTCCAGCAGCTGGTAGAAGACATGGAAGTTTCTCTCCCCGTGATTCTGGTGCACTACTCGGGACTTCTCCAGGAGGTAACTGAGGATGTGGCCACCCACAGGAGCACCCTGGGCAGGCAGGAGGTTCAACAGCTCAGGGGGCCTGAAGGATAGAATGCACCTTCTTCTCCCTCCCACAGGCTCCTGGGCTCTGATGCCAGCTCTGCTGCTAGCTGCATGGGCTCAGGCACGTGACCCCTTCTGGCCTTGGTTTCTTCATCTAAGAAGTGAGGATATTCAGCCCTATCTACTTGGCAGCTCCACCTGGATGTCAACAGGTCTGGAAATAAACTACTAATCATTCCCCTTCCTCAAACTAATTCCTCTGAGTGTGTCCCCATCTTGGTCAATGGTTACTCCATCCTCTGGGTGTTCAGCCAAGACATTTAGCAGTCCTCCTGCCACCCTCTTTTCTCAAGTACCTCACATCCAATCAGACAGCCAATCCTACAGCCTTACCCTTCAAAACACCCAGAAGTCAACCACTGCTCCCCACTGCCACCACACTGATCCAATCTGTCACCTAGATTTAATAAGCATTAGCTTCCTAGCTGGTTCTCTCCCTCTTTTTAAAAAGATTTACTTTTATTTATTTATGCTTACAAAAACTGGGGTCTAACCCGGAGGAGCAGAGGGTGAGAGGATTCACCAAAGACAGAGTGGGGAGCAGAACAGGCTGATCTACTGAAATATACCGCTGAGGGGAGCAGCGGGTGAGACAGGAGAGGTCTGCTGCTCCATGTGGGTATCTCCCTGGCCAGGGATTAAATTGCCGCAGTGGCTGGTAATAATTTGATAGTGCTGAGACTCCCTGCGCCATCAGGGAGGCCCTAACTGGTTCTCTTACCACCTTTTAAAAGCATAAACCAGGGCCTCCCTTGTGGCGCAAGGGGTTAAGACGCAACTGATGAAGCTATTCGCAGCCAGTGCAATCCCTGGCCAGGGAGTGATCCACGTGGTGCAGCAGACCTCTTCTGTCTCGCCCGCTGCTCCCCTCAGCAGTGTATTTCAGTCATTCTGCCTGTTCTGTTCCCCACTCTGTCTCTGGTGAATCCGCTAACCCCCCACACCTCTGGCCTATACTCCAGTTCTTGTATGCATAAATAAATAAATCTTAAATAAATAAATAAATAAATAAAAGCAAGCATAGACCAGAAGTTTTTTAAAAGGAACGTCATCATGACATCTTTCTCTTCCAAACCCTCCAATGACCCCCCACCTTCCACTCAGAGTTAAAAAAAAAATGCTCTTACAAAGACCCAGAAGGAAGGAAGTGTACCATTTGACTTCGTCCCCTGTTCTTTGGCCCCTCACTCTCCTCTCTAGCCCCTCTGACATCCTTGCTCTCCTTGAGCACACCAAATACCCTTCCACCTCAGGGTCTCTGCACTGGCGATTCCCTCTGCTGGGACTGTCTTTAAAAAATAATAATAATAAAATAAAATAGTAACTTTCCCCACCCCTTACCTTGTTACTTTGTTTATTTTTTGCTATGGCATCTGTTACCTAAGTTACACCTTTCTGTTTATTGTCTATGTCCCCCAGAGGCAGGATTTTCCTCTGTTTTGTTTCCCTTCTGTACCACCAGCCCTGGACCACACAGTAGGTACTCAGTAAATATTTAATTTACTGATGCCAAAGACCTGGGTGCCTACTGAATGGAATCCAAATCCCCCTGCCCTTACACACCCACAGGTACCTTGAAGTCAAACTGCACATCCATGTACTTCCCAAACCTGCTGGAGTTATCGTTTCGGAGGGTCTTGGCATTTCCAAAGGCCTAGGAGTGGACAGGGGTGTGAGGGATGCCCGGCATTTTTTCCCAGCCCCTCCCTCCCCTCAGTTGCTATAGTCCCCTCACCTCCAGCACGGGGTTGCTTTGCAGCAGCCTGTCACGCACGGCACCACCCCGCTCAGGGGCTGGGCAGGTCTCAGCATAGAACTGCAGCAACCGCTTGGTGGCCTCTGTCTTGCCTGCCCCGCTCTCCCCAGAGATCATCACCGCCTGGTCCCGGCGCTCCGTGCGCAGTGCCCGGTAAACAGTGTCGGCCACTGCAAACCTGGGGCAGAGGCACATCAGGAGCTCAGAGGTGGCAGTCTCACAGGTGGGGCCACTCCCACAGCTAGTTGGAGTTCATTTGTGACTGGATGCTGTGTAGGGTTCTGGAGGATAGAGTCTGGGGAACCCTCAAGACTAAGGATCAAGGGAGCACCTTCACAATTGAGGATGAAGGTCACTTACAGGATGGGGGAGTTAGAGGTCATTCAATTGGAGATTGGGGTGACTCATACCTAAAGCTGGAAGGTCCCTCAGAGGTGGGAGTCAGAAGGTCACTGAGGTTGGGGGACTTGCCCAGGAGGAGTTGAGGGAAAAAGTCATGGGTGTGAATTGGGTGGGGGCTGGGGAGATCTTGCCCAGAGGGAGTTGAGAGATTGATCTTGGTGGAATGTGAGGTCACTCTAGGGTGAGGGGTTGAGGGATTGTGGTATTCCTCACAGATGGAGCAGTGATTCATCTCAAGTGGGGGTCAGGTATCATCTGAGTGAGGGTCAGGTGGGGTCATCTCTGATGGAGAGGAAATGGGGGTCACTCACAGGTGAGGTGGCACCTCATAGAAGCTGACGCCACGGTAACGCTCCATATGTTGCCGGGTGTAGATCTGTAGGTCCCGGTAGGGGTTGACAGAGACCAGGACAGGGCCAATGTATGTCTGGGGGTGGAGGGTGAGAAGTTTTTCCCAGAGGCCCCTGATGCCCCTTTCTTCCTCAGCCCTGCATCTGTACCCCCCAACATCCCATAGTCTTCCCACTAGGGCCTCACATAAATGAGGTTCTCCCGGAACCGTCGCCGCAGGTTCTCGATGAAGGCTGCCTCACTGGTAAAGTTCTCCAGCAGCACAAAATCTTGCACCCCTACCCGGTCACGGGCAGTCAGTGCGCTCTCCATGGTTACCCGTATCCCGTCACTGCCCAGGGCCTGCAGAGAATGGACCATGGGAGAGCGTCAGATCTAGCAGGGTAAGGTAAGTCTACTTTCCCCCTCCTGCTGAACTGAGAGGGTAACCAGGGACACAAGAACAGAGAACATCCAGGAGACAGACCATGCTGGGTCTATATGCATTCTTTGACATGCTGGGTCACAAGCAGCCAGTACATGGAATACTGAGGACATGGGTCACACAGAACAGAGGCCACAGGGGACTCAGACACAGGACACTAGAACCCAGAGGACCCAGAGGACATGGGAATAAGGCCACTGAATGCAGGGAGGTGCTGGTTTTGTATAGAGGAGACAGAATCACCAGAAGGAATTCCTTGGAATAACAGAAAGAATGCTCTGTTGACCTTGGATAAATCCCTTCCTCTCTCTGAGTTGATTTCTTCTCAATGAGGAGTTGAATAAGAGCAGGTGACCTCAGGTCCCTGAGCTCTGAGCCATATGTGACAGTTGCTTTGGAGGACAAATGGCTTCAAGTGAATTCCGAATGGCATGCAGGGTAGGCGATCTCACTAACCCCTACCCACTAAAATGTCCAGGGACCAAGCAAGAGACCATCCTGAGGCCACAGGAGAGGAACTACCCCAGAGGGCCTCCCATCCCAGCTGGGCTCAACATCCACCCCAGAAAGGGGGCCCTCCCTCCCATAGCTGGACCACACCCTCTCCTCCAGCTGCCAGGCTCACCCTCCTCCGTCAGAGAGCCCTGAGAAGCCTCAGAGGGTGGGGGTTTTACCAGGGAAAGTCCAGATGCCTCAGGGGCCCAACAGAGGGTGAGCCATAGGGCTCAAGAAGGCCCTCACCCCACACCACGCTCTCCAAAGAGGGTCTGAGGTGCTAGGAAATTGACACCAATAGTGTCAAGGGTCAGGGAAGAGCAAGGTGGCCGGAGGGGTGTGTGTGTACATCCCAAAGGGGCCACCAGGACTCCTCCAGTCCCAAACCACCCAGATCTCCGGGGCATAGTACCCCTCCAAGTCTGGATTCAGGGGCCTGCCTCTCTTAGGCCGGTCCCTCACCCCCCACCCCCACCCCCGATCCTGCCCCAAGCTGCTGCCAAATCTGGCTGAAGCCCCCGCCCCCTAGTCCTCTGGGTGAGGGGTCTCAGCGCTCACAGCAGTCTGGGGAGCTCCTCGCCCCGCCCCGGAGCGAGAGTGCCGCGGCCCTCCCTACCTCAGCCTCCTTCCCCTGTAACTTTCCGGGACATTTTTCCACCCGAAATTCCTGGGCCGCGCCCGCTTCCTGGCAGAGCCGAGGCGGCGCCACGAGGCGGGGAGGGCCGCCCGGGACCCCAGCCCTCTCCTCCACCCCCGCTCACCGACGCCCGGTAGCGCATCCTGCCCGGCCGGCTCCGCGCCCTGCTTCGCAGCCGGTGCTCGCGGCCCGGGGCTCGGCGGCCGCCGCGGCGTCAGGGAGGGAGGGGCGGGCCCGCCCCCCGCGCCGCCCCCTCCGAAAGCCTCAGAAATGCGGGACTCCCTGGCTGCCACCGCCCCTGCCCGGGACTCGGACTCCGGGGTTCCTCTCCTGCAGGTGTGGGCGGGATAGGGGCGAAGGGGGATCTCCGCGCGGGGGAGGGGGCAGGGGCAGGGCGGGCGGGGTGGGGGCGGGGGTGGGGGCGGGGCTCCCCGCCCGGCGGGGGCTCCGCCTGAGTCAGGTTTTCCAGGAGGCACGTCTTTGGTTCCAGGGTGGGGCCCGGAACCCGTGCGGCCGCGGCGTCTACACGGACCCGGAACTCACTTCCGGCTGTCTACACGGCGCGCCCCGCCAGGCGCGGAACAAGGCCTGAAGCCCGCGGGTCCCGCAGGAAGCAGGATTTCCCTCCCCCTCTTACCCATCCTAGAGCCCCGGGAAAGTTAAAAATAGAACGAAATGTCCAAATACGGCCGGCGCGCCTAGGCGGGCGGAGCCTGGGTGCGGGGCACTGCCCACCCACACACGCTCACTGCCCACCCACACGGGGGTGGACCCCGTGTTTTTAGGCCCCAAGAAAATCTGTTTAGGTTCCCGCACGAACACAGATCGCGCGCCCTGGGGCCGCAGAGCGCCTTTGCAGATCGCAGTGCGTGTTGTCCCCTGTGGAGGTCTGTTTCCCAGCTGGGAAATCCACATTCGATTTCCAGCATTTGGGACCAAAACCCATCGAGGACACCAGGAGGTCTTCATTTCTCTCTCCTTTGGAGAGGCTGCCCTCTCCTGCCACTCTGGATCTCAAGTTCTGCTCAAACTGAACCAGCCCCAGCAGCCCCACTCTGGCTGGGCTCTTGGGAGGCACCGGCCTGAGGGGCGAACCAGCTCGGAACCTACCCCTGGTGAGGGTGGTGATTGCTAAGGCTTGCCAGGCTTAGCTGTTATAAATTGTGACTGAGCGCAGGGCACTTCTCAAGAGCCTCTTCTTCATCCTTAAAATGAGGCTAATACCTGCCTAAAAGGGTTGTTGAGAAGGCTAAGTTAAAGCCTGGGGCACTTCCCAGATATGCTATAAAGATCCTGTCCCTCTCTGGGCCAGACATTCATTCCAGACGTGCTAGGGGCAGACCTACTAAGGTCCTGGGCCCGCCCGCTCACACTTCTTATCTAACGGGGAAAGCCCCTCAGGCATGTCTGCCTGTTAGAGAAAGCTTTCGAGAGAGTGTTACCAGTCTCCACCTGATAGATAAGGAGCCCGAGGAGCGGTAAAGGCTGACCCTGAACTTGTCTTAGGCGGCAAAAGGCCGAGCCGGGGCGCCCTCGGCGGAGCCAAGCAGGTGCTGACTGCAGCGTCCGGGGAAGGCTTATTACCCCCAGAGCAACAGCCGGGCGAGCCGCGGCCCAAGGGACCCCGCTGGGGGTGGGGTGGGGCGCCAGTAGGAAGATGGGGCCCTCTGGAATGGGCGAGGGGGCGAGAGATGGGAGTGGAGGGGGAGGAATATTAAAAGCCACAGGCTGAGACGAGCTCAGGGTGGGAAGGGGCGCCCTCCGCGGTGCCCCGTTTTTAAATCTAGGCGGGAGCGGGAGAGGACTCAGCCCCCAGCCCACCCGGGAATGGGGAGGGCCTCAGAAGGCCGTGGGAAGGAGATCGACCGAAGCACGGCTCGGGTGGTAATGGGGGTACCCCCCTAGCGCAGCGGCGGGTCGGGGACCTGAGGGGGAGGAAGGAGCCCGGGAGCAAGGCGGAGCCTCGAGGCCGCCGCGCCCACCCCGCCTGCTGCCGCGTCAAGCGGCAGGAATGAGGGGAATCCGCGTGCGGAGGGGTCCGGCCAGTCATCCCCCAATCTCGCTCTGCGCCGCCGCATTCCCGGGATGCCCGATGGCGCCCCCACAGCCGCCGCCCAGAGGCGGAAGGAGGGGGCGTCTCCGCCGCAGGGCGGACCTGAGTGAGGGCACCAGCCCCCGGCAAGCCCAATCTGCCCGGCCCGCCCCGCCTCCCTGGACCGCGCCCGCCGAGGATGTGGGGAGTTGAGGATGTGAAAGACGTCGCGACCAAAGCTGCAGCGCCAGGCGCTTCAACCGTCTAAGCGCTTTCTTCTGTTACACCGCTCAGTGCTCCCCAGCCAGGACACGAGGGGTGTTATTACTCCCATTCTACAGACGGGAAAACTAAGGCTGAGCAGACGAATGCCTTGTTCAAGATCTCAGGACTGTAAAGGAGGGAGGGACAGCACTCACTATTCTTGCAGGGCTGCTCTGAGGGGGTGGGGTGGGCCTATTCCCAAGCTTCTCTGTAAAGGCTAACATGCTCCCAGCCAGACTGTGACCTTCTTCAGTGACCCCGCGACCGCAGTGCCCAGTCAGTGGTGACCACACGTAGGCTTGAGGAATAGCAGCTAGGGGGCAACCACACCTTTGGGCCCCTCCAGCATGGTCCTGAGTTTAGGCACTGGCAGCAGGCTGGAGTCCAGCCAAAGTACAGAGTAACCCAGGGCTTGTTTCCCAATACTGTCCCAAGCCTAATCTCTGGAGCAACGGGGAGGATGGTGAACAGCCTCAAATATTCCCCCATGCCAGGACCTGGCAGGTCTGGAGAGGATATTCAGAGGAACACCAGAAGACTGCCATAAGCTGGTTTCCACTGTGGCAGCTTCATGGTCTCTTGAGACAGTGAAAGAACCACAACCTACACCTCTCACACAGAACAGGTACTCAATTGACTCTTAGGACTGGGGTCAGGAGGCTGCCTCCACCAGGGATTGTTTCAGCTCAAGAGAACTGTTTTGAGGGGAAATGTGGGAAAGAAAGGTGTGGACTCTGAGACACTACCTGATTGCACACAGGGCTGCAGATCAATGATCCTTTGACCTTCCAGACAGTTCTGCTTGGGAGTCCAACAAAAGTAAATGGAGTATCTTCCCCCTAACCGATCCTCCTGTCTGACACCCCTTACAAATAGAGAGGAGGGAGGCACTTCCAGCTAGTCATCGTGGGCTGGCATAAAAGGCCTGTTCTCCTCCTTCCACTCTTAACACCAAGGATTCACCACCTACTAAAATCTCTCCTCTGTTCCTCCATCACAACTTGGCTTCCCCATCAGGTGGCAGCCTCCTAATTGGGCCTCCCAACTTTTCTCCAGTCTGTGGTATTTACAAATGCAAATCAGATCAACCAACATCTGTTAAGAGAACGAAGATTTATAGAGGACCCTACAAGTACCAAGCCCCTACCTCAGACCCACTGTTTTCTGTCAGGCTCCTGTGTAGAACTCCAACAGGACCCCACAGTGCTCATTTATCCCACTGCTCCTGCTTCCTGTTGTGCAGGAGTGGCCCTCTCCAGTCGCTCCTCACCCCCGGCCTCCCTCACCACCACACACTCGCTGGAGGTGCTGCAGGAACCCCTGCCATCAACCGCAGGTGGCTCTCTAAGCTTTTTGCTTTTGCACCTGCAGCTTGCTGGGCCCAGAGGTCCCTACACTCCCCCATCCCCACCTGACTGACTCTTAGTCATCCTTGAAGACTCAGCTCAGGTATCACTTCCTCCAAACCCATGCCTGACTCCCCTCAATACACAGCTCCCTCCTTATCGCACTGCGTTCTAACTGCCTGCTTCCTAGTCAGTCTCTCCCAGGAGACTACTCCCGCCTGCTCAGGCAGAAGAGTGCAACCAAGGCCAGCACATAATAATTGGGGGCTCAGTAATCCTCTGAATGAATGAAATGAATCACAGAGCTCAGGAGTGTGAGCAGGAGGCCGGGACGTGCGGGTCAGCCATTCATTCTCATTCATCTCTGAACCCCCACACCCTCCACACAGGCGCCGCGGCGCGCGGGGCGCAGGAGGAACCGGGCCCCGGGGGGCGGAGAACGGGAAGGGGCGGGGCTCCGGCTGCAGCTCCGGAACCCACAGGCTGAGCCAGGCAGCCAAAGGGGCCCCAAGGGCGGGCAGGGTGTTTGGGTCCGGAGACCCAAGCCGCTCCTCCCTGCCCTCCCGTGACCCACTAGTAATATAAGTCGCCACCAGCCCAAGTCCTGGCGCCACCGGCTTCTGGGACCCCCGCAAGGGTCGGAGGGGCCGAACCGACTCTGGGCCCGCGATCCCCGGGCAGGCGACCCCGCTTCCCGCACGGTAGCTCCGGGCCTGGCTCGGCTCCCGCCGCTTGCCCTTTCCCCCATCCCGCCCGCCAGAGGCCTCTCAGGGCCACGCGGCTGCTGTCCGCCTCGCGTACCCACCGACTCGACTCTTCGGGTGCGCAGGCGGGCGGGGGCCAGTCTGGGCAGCGTGGCCGGCTCTGGAGTCCGTGGTGCCGGCACGTTCTCCCCGCCCAGGGCCCGCCCGGGGCCGGGCCGCCGCCTGTCGTCATCCCGGGCAGGGCTCAGACCCGGCGTGCGCGCGCCCTCGGCCCCGCCCCGCCCTGGCTGGTCCTGGAGCTGGCCCTTGCCCGGGTCCTTGGCGTTGGCGGAGACTTAGAGACTTAGTGCTGTGCACTGTGCAACTAGCTTCCAGGACAAGGCACACCGGTCTCTCCCTCCCTCCCTCCCTCCCTCTCTCTCTCTCTCTCTCTCTCTCACACACCCACACACACACACCCACACACACAGCCAAAGACCCTACCCACTCGCTGCAGTGCCGGATGGGTGGGTGCCTCTGATGGGGTTATCCCTCCTCCTCCTGGGGACTTTGCAACCCAGAGTAAGCCCGAACCCCGGCCCCGCCCCCCACCCCCCATGTGCCAGGTCAGGTCAGTGCTACCCCTATTGCGCCTGGTTGTGCCTACCTCTTTCCCTTTACCCTCCTTGCTGGTCTGCTCTACTGCTCTGAGCTGGCCAGTTCCAGTTCTTCAGACAAGAGGGGGTAGGGAGAGGCATCAACAGAGCCTAAGCACCGCTAGTCTTAACCTCACCGCAGCCCTGTTACCTAGGGCCTGCCGGTTCTTAGCTCAGCCCACGGAGGTTCAGGGAACTGAAGAAGGGATTCAAACCCAGATCCCTACTTCGAAAAACCCTGCTTTTGGTGGCCCCTAAACCTTTATCCCTTCCATCCATTTACCTCTTCTTATCCAGGCTATTTCTGCCTTACCCCAGAACCCCTCACCACCGCTCACCTTTTCCAGAGGGGATTGCTTGAGGTGGGGAGGGGGACAGATTCTGGGCCCTGGGGAGATACTGCCACCCTTCCTCCAAGCCCAGAGCATCCCAACTTACAGGTTTGCAGGACTTGTGGGGATGAACCACACGGATGATCTCCCCGGTGGGTATCAGCTCCACTTGCAGCGCCATTCTACCCTGTGGACAGCCAGCGTGCGGAGCACCCGGGGCCTCTGAGCAGAGCCTGCCTGCCCACTGACTCTCACTGCTCCCAGAGCCAGGAATCTGGTCACACGCTGGGATGGCCACTTGGTTCAGCTTCAACTCCAGCCCCAGGGGATGTGTCTGGTCCAGCGTCTCAGGACACAGCTGGAGCAGCCCAGGTCTGATTGGAAGGCCTCTTGGCCCAGCGGGTTGGGGCAGGAAGAGGAGGGGCTGAGGGATGGAGGAAATGCCTGTTGTCCCAGGTAACCAGAGAGGCTGATACAGACACCCATGGGGGACCCACGACTCCAGGTCAAAGGGTAGGAGGTCTTTCCCCCCAGCAGCTCCATTGCCAGGCCTCTCCTGCCACCAAGTCATTGATGTCAGCCAGAGCGTACAGTTACCACTCCCCAAACCAGAATGCACATCCTGCTGTAAATCAAGAGTAACCATTAATAAGCATGCCCTCAGCATGTCCCCCCAGCTTGCCTGTGTCCCACTGCAGCAGGTGAGCCCCTGGAGTTTGAGAGGCCAGGATAGCTGGAAGCTGGCCATGTTGGGCACAGAAGGTTGGTGAGAGGCAAGAGGGCACTGTCAGAGGGCCCTGTCTCACCCTCCTCCAGAATCTCAATTGCTTGAGAGGTTGGTCCTTGTGCTCCCCGGCTGTGGACACTTAACCCTGTTCGCTTCTTACCCTCAGGTGCCCCCCACCCTGAATGTTCCTGTTTTTCTATCTTTATTGTTGCTAAATCATAGCTGACACTTTCCTGGCCTGGGACTAAGCCCTCCAGTCGCCAGTCATTCCTTATAGGAAGTGAGATGGGGAAACGGACCTTTCCAGAGGGAGAGGCTGGCATGGGAGGGGCTGGAACACAGCAGGCCTGGGCTGGCCTTGACAACCCCAGGGCAGGCATCTTTCCCCAGGCACCCATCCCCTCCCTCCCCAGTTTCCCCCGCCCAGGAAAGGCTAGCAAAGCTTCCTTCCTTCCTCCGGGAAGCACATCTATCCAGGGCAGGCTCATCCCAGGCGGCCACACAATAGCCCTTATCAGCCGTGGAGCCAGGCGCAGAGACTTGCACACCAAGTCTCACATATTTCCTGTTTCCACCCAGCGGGTCAGGGCTGGGCCCAGAGCGGCCATATCCTGGCCAGGGCCAAAAGGAGGGAAAACACTCCCCCTTCCTGCTCCCCCTCTCACTCACTGCAGGACTCAGTCCTTCAGGGCTAGGAGGGGCCTGCAACAGGAGATGGGTAGGGGCCTCTGAAGAATTACTGGGAAGGGAGGTGGGCATGTGGAGCACAGCATGCTCCCTGAGCACCAGAAACAGGGGGAACCTTGGATTCAGAAGCCCCAAGATCAGCCCCAGGGCTGCATAAAACAAAACAAGGTGGTAGGTATAGTGTTGCTTTAATTGTCCTCTCACAATATTGTGAATAGGTACATTACTTGTACTTTACAGACCACTGAGACTCCTATGTGGGTGACATGGAACTAATTCAAACCCAGGTCTTGATGCTATTCCTGTTTTTGCAGCCCATGTTAATTTCCAATGAGCCCATGTTCTCTCTCTGAGCTTGGTTTCCCTGAACTAATGATGTGCTTAAATCCTCTTTTCCCCCCACAAGGGGCAAGGTGGGCAAGTATGAGGGTTCATGTTTCCTCAGGTGTGTGTATAGTGGAGGCAGTATAGAGGGGGAATCTCTCGGGGAGAGGCAGGGCAGAGAGAAAGAAGGTGACATTTTTGATCATTTAAGCCAGGACCAGGGCTCAAGACTAAGGAAGTGGCGTGTGAGGACAGTGAACCAGTAGGAACAGAGTAAGCACCTTCTCCAAGTTGTCACTTCCAAAAAACCCATTCTGCTTAACAGCAGAGTAAATGAAGTGTCCAACAGCATAGATGGCGTGCCTCAACTGGGTGAGGCACCCAGAGGGCTGTCACTCCAGAATCTCACCACATTCCCATCTGTCACTTTGAGTTACAAAGTCTAGTCTGGATCTACAGAGCCCTTGTTCTGGAGTCTAGAAACACACCGTGTGCCTCTTCCCACCAGCATCATCAAAGAGTCACACACAAGTGTAAAAGCCATGTTTCTAATTATTCTCCAATATAACCAACAGAGTACAGTCAGTCACGGCCCTCAAGAAGCCAGGGGAGAAGTTCTTGATAGTACACACAGATTCCATGATGTGTACTTCTGTAGAAATTACAAGCAACTAGAGCATCCTTCAGTCTCAGGATGGACATGAGAGTCACAGTGCAGGCTCCCTGAGGTGTTCTCTCCAAGAAGGGCCACTGAATCAGAAGTGGATGGAGGCAAGTGGTGGGAGTAAGGACAAGTCATGTCCACGCAGCAGCTGGAGAATGCTCTCTGAAGACCTCCAGGGCCAGATTCTAAATATTTTGGTTCTCCCACTCCCACTTCTGGGTCCCTGAAGAGTTGAGAGGGGCAGTTTCTTGCCAGTGACTGCTGGTAAGGGTAGGGGCAAAGAAGCTCTATTTAGCAAGGACCACTCTGGGAAAATCTCTGGCCACAACTCCTCTACCACCTGCCAAACCTTCACAAGAAGGCAATTTGGGGGCCTGACCAAGCAGAAATAAATCTGGGTCCAAGTATGTGCTCAGGCCCTGGAACTTCCTAGGTAAGATTCCTTGGGAGATGGGGAGGCATTTGTGCTGGCAGAAGGATATTCAGCAACCTGCCCATAAGCCCTACATAAAAGCCTGGGTAGAGGGCCCCTCTACCCTGCCATCTTAGTCATACTGCTTCTGCTGAGAGGAGGAATGATCCCAGACCCTCCACAATCCCTCTGGGGAACAGGTCATGTTCATTCCAAAACTCCTGGAATCCAGTGCTGCTTACGCCAATCGGTCTATGGAGTCTGTACAAATGTGAGCATCTCCCTTCCCCAGCAGGCCCAGGATGGCATGACAAGAATGCAGGTCTGTGCCAGATGGGGCATGTGCCTGGTAGGCCTGCTTGGTTGGGACTGGAAGTGTGTGGGGAGGAAAGTCAGGAACGGAGATATAGCCCACGTCTGGTGGGCTGTCCCCAAGTCTTCACTGTTGACAAACTAGCTGGTTTCACTCACACCTCAGCAACAAAAACCTGTATTTAAGTGGTCAACTCTAGAGGTGTAGACTAGAGAGAGCAAAGGAGTGTGGCTAGAGCTCCCCCGGGAGGTGGAGGTTACTTGCTACCTCATCAGGGGGCGGGCTGGGCCCCCAGAGCTCCTGGCAGTGGTAGGCAGAGCTAGCTGCCAGCTCTGGCCTCCGTCCTGGATTCACTCTCATCCCGGCTCAGTTCTGTGGTTGGGCTTCACCTGGTAGGTCCTCCCCCAAGAAGGTATGAGGTTGGATCTGCAGGGATAGAACAGATGGTGAAGGGAAGGGGAAAGAGCAATGCCTCTTTCCAATGCCTCTCCATCACTCCCATTACCCAATGTATGTAGCTCCACGGTCTGGTTTGGCACCTAGGCCTGTGGCTTTCAGAGACTTATGATGGACTTGAGTACCCTTCCCCTTCAACCCTCCCCTCATGGCACTCCTTACCTTGAAGGGTTTGCTTATTCCCACCACAGAATGTAGACTATTGCTATAGTAACAAAGGAGAAACTTATCCTCAGTCTCAGGGACATTGCTGATGTTGATGTATACCTGGAGGGGGGGATGGACAGGAATGGAGTCCTCAGGCCTTGGCCCCACCCAGCTCTCAGTGGCAAGTTATCCAATCCTCTGTTCCTTCCAGAAGACAGGAATGCCCAGAAGAGCCTGTCTGCTGGAGATGTAGACTATCACCTTAGGAAGGAGGGCAGATACCTGGTTCAGCCTGTCGCTGGAGAAGACCTGATTGTCCTTGACCCAGACATAGGACACATAGTCATTAATGTGGCGCAGTCCCACCTGTGGGAGGAGGATTGGGTAGTTAGTGGTCTGGGAGGACAAGGGACCTATAGCAAGTCCTAAGGAGATGCTGTCATTCCTAGGGCTGGCCCTCATACTGTATGCTCCACCCCTTAGTTGCCACCCCTAGTAGGTACGGTGAATGATGGTGAGCTCTTCAGTTTTTGTGTCCAGTTCCCACAAATGCTCAGGGTAGATAAACTAGAGGAGTATGGTTGATAGACTCCCCACTACCACATTACCTTGTACAGCCCAATCCAGTCCCAGGGGCTGCTGAGGAAGTCTGCAGTCAAGAAGTAGCTGATCAACATGTCGTTATCCATAGTCCACAGGCCCTCAGGTATCAGGGTGATCATCGGGGCAGACACCAATGGCTTCAGCTACACACAGGGATGGGAAGGGGGTTGAAATCTCATAGCATCCTTCTTTTCTTTGCAATGAATGTTTATACTGTGCCCTTCGAACATGGCAGGGTCCATAGGGGGAGGAAGGGTACCTGGGGCATGGGCATAGGACTCAGCTAGACTGCCCTGACAAGTGTCAGACCTTGGATAGTCAACTAGAAAGAGAAAGGACCAAAGGCTTGTCAGAGTACAGCTGGCCTTGCCAGGGCAGGTGGAGCTGAGCAGCAGGTGGGTGCTGAGAGCCAAGTGCTGAGGGGTAAGAGTGGGAGGAGAACAGGGGAGTTGCAGAAGTTTAAGAAAGCTGCCAGTTAGCTGGCCTCCAGGGTTCCTGACTCAAAGGCCCAAATCTAATTTTGCAGAGGGGGATGGAGTTGTGCTCCAGCAAGAATAGCTATAGGCATGTGGAAACACTCAATAGGATAAGACAGAAAAATCAGTAGGAAAAGGTGTAGACTTAGGGCAGCCAGCAGCTTGAAGGAGGTTAATGCCACCTTGTTCACTAGATGGCAAGATACAGGATGGAGGGAGCTCCCCTTGCAACCTGATCCAGATACGTTTAGGACAAATAAAAGTAAGGCCTACTTCATATAGTAAGTAATAAGTGTAATGGAAATCATTAGCCCCAAGGGACAGTAAGAGGAAATGGAAACCTATTCACTAAGGGTTTGAACACATTTTTGACAGACAGCCATCAACAGCTCCTAAGAAGAGCTGGGATACCTGACCTGAGAGGAAAGGCAATCATGTCCTCCTCCAGGTGTTCCCTGGGGATCTAGTGATATTAGAGTCCAGGGCTGGGGGGTTTGGGGCTGTGGCCCAGCATGGTTCTCCTCCGCCCAGTGCCAGGCAGCCTAGAAGTTCACCTCCAAGTCAAAGGTGCCGGTCACAGGTTTATGGTCACTGATGCTGTACATCATGTGGCTGATGTAGCTCCTCAGAGACAGCAGGAAGTGGGGAGCCAGCTGCCTGTGAGTGTGGGGATCAGCTTGGGGCTGCCGCTTCAACCTCCACAGAATGCGGTCGGTCCATGCAGGCTTGCGTTTTTTCTCACTGGGGGTAGGGAGGAGGAAGAATGGGGAGAAAAGAAAGGGTTGGCACAAGAGCAGGAAGGTACTCCCCTGAGCCTTCTGGAGCCACTGACACCAGGATCTGTCAGTGGCCATGTAGTCCCTGAGCCAGGTGGAAGGTGCCCAATAGAATCAAAAGTGAGCTGGCTTTTATCAGACTTGGCCCAGGCCCCTCAGTCTAGTCTACATTTTTAAGGCTCAAACTGTGACTCAGAAACATTCCATTTCAAAGTTTTTCTTTACAGGCAGAGAAACTGAGACTTAGAGGGGAATGTTCCCAAAGTCACAAAGCCACTAAGTGGCAGAGCCAGGATTCAAGGTGGCATGACCGCAGAGCATGTGTTCTAAATCACCAGGCCAACCCATCTTAGGTCGCAGCTTCATCTGTAAAATGGAGATAACAACAGTTACCTCATCAGGTTGCTGAGACAGCTGTATGAGATAAACATCATTTGTGAGAAATCACAGAAGTATTTAGCATAAAACTTGGTACAAAATAATCTCTCTGCAGGGCCTCCCCTGGTGGTGCAGCGGTTGAGCGCCACCAGCGAGGTTGCCAGCAGCCTCTGCAGCGTCAGTTTGTTCCCCGGCCACCAGCGAGGGTCCCAGGAAAAAAAAAAAAATCTCTCTGCAGACACTGACTATTCATGATTTTTTGTTCTCGAGAGTCAACTAAGGGCCTTCTTCCCCCGGTGGCGCAGGCGGTTGAGCGCAGCCCTGTGAAGCTGTCCGCAGCCTTTGCAGCACCGGTTTGATCCCGGCCAGCCGGTGAGGGTCCCACATGGCAGGGCAGACCTCTCCTGTCTCACCCGCTGCTCCCCTCAGCAGTGTATTTCGTCAGTCTGCCTGTTCTGTTCCCCACTCTGTCTCTGGTGAATCCTCTCACTGTCCCACGCATCTGGTCTGTACCCCAGTTCTTGTTTGTATGTATGTATGTATGTATGTATAAATAAATAAATAAATAAAGACAGCCACTTAACTTAAAAAAAAAAAAAGAGTCAAATGAGAGGGCTTCCACCTGTTCTTCACATCACCAGCTTCCCTAAGGAGCTGACAGGCCGCACAGCCCTTGGAGACCAGAGTGCTTTCCTTCTCTAGGTAATTGAAGTTGCCGAAGCCGTGTAAGGCTTTGACTCCTAACCCAGGCCTGCCCAAGCAGCTACTGTGGAGTTCTGAGAGCTAAATGGAGAGCCTGAGTTCTGGAATGGGGAGGACGGTTGCTGTATCTGGGTTCCTCCCCCTTGGTTTTGTTTTTTTTTTTTTTTTAAAGATTTATTTATTTATACAAGCACTGGGTACAGTCAGAAGCGCTGGAGGGTGAGAGAATTCACCAGAGCCAGAGCAGGGAGCAGAACAGGCAGAAGGACCAAAGTACACTGCTGAGGGGAGCAGCGGGCGGCAGGAGAGGTCTGTGCGCCATGTGGAACCGCCTCCGGTGGCCGGGGAGCAGCCGGGGATTGAACCGGCGCTGCAGAGGCTGCGGGCAGCTTTGCAACCTAACACTCAACCACTGCGCCACTGGGGAGGTCCCCCCACCTTGGTTTTGAATGAAGACAAGTAAAGCCTAGTAAGGTGGTTCCCTACTTTAAAACCTTTAGGAAGTCTCCCTTCCCTTCAGAGTATTGTTCCAGTTCCCAGATATGGCTTTCTTTCAAGGTGCTCAGGAGTCAATGCCCCATCTGCCTTACTTCCCACCACTGCCAGACCCACCACACCCTGGCAACTCTCAAGAATTTGGGCCTTTAGTTTTGCACTTTTTGCTGCCTGGAACCCCTTCTTCACTTTGGAGGGCCCAATTCCAACACTGTTTTTGTCATAAAGCCACCCTAACCTCCCCTTTCTGCTTGTAAGGCATTTACACCTGTACTTCTACAATTATGTCATAGTGTCTTCTGTTTCCCAGTAGGTGCATCAGTTGTGAGTTCTGAGGACAAGGCCTGGAGTTTCCTGTGTATCCTCCACATTATCACAGAGTCTAGCACACAATAGGTCCTCAACAAATGCCTGTGAAACCCAACTAAACAAAAACCTCCAACCTGGATCTCCCTTCTCAAAATGTCCTTCAAATCCTAATGGAATCAGTTTGAAATGCTATTTTTGTTTTCTGCTTGATTACTGTTTTTCTTTCTTTCTTTCTTTTTTTTTTTAAGATTTATTTATTTATTTATACAAGCACTGGATACAGTCAGAAGCGCGGGAGGGTGAGAGAATTCACCAGAGCCAGAGGGGGGAGCAGAGCAGGCAGAAGGACCAAGGTAAACCGCTGAGGGGAGCAGCAGGCGGCAGGAGAGGTCTGCGCGCCATGTGGGACCCTCCTCCGGTGGCCGGGAGCAGCCGGGGATTGAACCGACGCTAGAGGCTGCGGGCAGCTTCGCAAACCAGCGCTCAACCGCTGCGCCACTGGGGAGGCCCTACTGTTTTTCTTTTTAATTTACTATTTTTTAAAAAAGATTTATTTTTATTTATGCATAAAAGAACTGTGGTACAGGCTAGAGGTGGGGGGAGTTGAGAGGATTCACTAGAGACAGAGTGGGGAGCAGAACAGATAGATCGACTGAAATACACTGCTAGGACAGGAGAGGTCTGCTGCGCCATGTGGGTTAGTTCCCTGGCTGGGGATCAAACTCACCCCGAAGTGGCTGGCAATAGCTTTGATAATGCTGAGACTTTAAGCCCTGCACCACCAGGGAGGCAATGATTACTATTTTAAATAAACTCCTAGTGTACATATCACCACAAGTTTTCTAACAGTATAGACAGAATGGTATCACTGTTGAACTCAGAGTCTAGAATCAGAAATCAGTTAGGAGATGGTGTGGCCCTGTTAATTAAGAGCTCTGTGGTCCTGGGTTGCTGAGCACAAGATTGGGGGAGACTGGCACACCCTGAGAGGGCATGGAAGTTCTTCGCCCTTCCTCAATATACTGCACATCTTTTTCATCTGCCTATTTCTGAGTTATATTCTTTTTTTTATTAAACATTTATTTATTTGTGCATACAAGAGCTGGGGTACAGGTCAGAGATGCGGGGGGTGAGAGGATCCACCAGAGAGAGAGCGGGGAACAGAACAGACAGACTGGGGCCTCCCCGTTGGCGCAGCGGTTGAGTGCTGGGTTGCGAAGCTGCCCGCAGCCTTTGCGGCACCAGTTCGATCCCTGGCTGCTCCCCGCCCACCGGAGGAGGGTCCCACATGGCGCGCAGACCTCTCCTGCCGCCCGCTGCTCCCCTCAGCAGTGTACTTCGGTCCTTCTGCCTGCTCTGCTCCCCGCTCTGGCTCTGGTGAATTCTCTCACCCTCCCGTGCTTCTGACTGTACCCAGTGCTTGTATAAACAAAAACAGACAAATAAATAAATTAAAAAAAAATGCCTCTATTAAAAAAAAAAAGACAGACTGACTGAAATACACTGCTGAGGGGAGCAGCGGGTGAGACAGGAGAGGTCTTCTTTGCCATGTGAGTTTCTCTCTGGCAGTCTGGGGATCAAACTCGTGCTGCAGAGGCTGCGGACTGCTTCACAGTACAGTGCTCAACCCTTTGCACCACTAGGGAGGCCCAAGGTTATACTTTTTTTTAAAGATTTACTTTTTTAATTTTTTTTTTAAGATTTATTTTATTTATACAAGAACCAGGGTACAGGCCAGATGCGTGGGAGGGTGAGGGGATTCACCAGAAACAGTATGGGGAACAGAACAGGCAGACTGACGAAATACACTGCCGAGGGGAGCAGTAGGCGAGACTGAAGAGGTTTGCTCGCCATGTGGGTTGCTCCGAGGCTGGTGGGGATCGAACCAGCATTGCAGAGGCTGCGGACAGCTTTACAGCACCGCGCTCAACTGCCTGTGCCACCAGGGAGGCCCTACTTTTTAATTTTTTATGCATAGAAGAACTAGGGTGAAAAAAAAAGAGAACTAGGGTATAGGCCAGAGGTGGGAAGGGGTGACAGGATTTACCAGAGTAGAGTAGGGAGCAGAACAGGCGGATCCACTGAAATATACTGCTAAGGGGAGCAGCTGGTGGGACAGGAGAGGTCTTTTGCGCAATGTGGGTTAACTCCCTAGCTGGGGATTGAACTCAGGCAGCAGTGGCTGGTGATAGCTTGATAGCACTGAGACTTTAATCCCTGCACCAGCAGGGAGCCCCCTTGAGTTATGTTCTTTTATGATAAATCAGTGATCTTTTAGTTAAAGAAAAAAAAAAAAAGCTATATACCCTTGGGCAAGTGACTTCACTCCAAGCCTCAGTTTTCTTCAACTCTAAGATGGAGTGATAACAGCACTTACTTCAAAGAGCCAATGTGAGAATTAAATAAACTAAGGTGCATCAAGGGAGTGGTCAAGAAGTGCTAAATGGCTAAACCACTTTTGCTTTCGGGCTTCCTAGATTGTTTAGACCTTTTCCTCTTTTGAGGAATGTTCAGAGGACATTAGGATGTGGGGGTATTCCCGTCCCAGAGACTACTGAATCCACTTTGGATTTTTTTTTTAAAGATGTATTTATTTATGCATACAAGAATTGGGTTACAGGCCAGAGGTGTGGGGGTGAGAGGGTTCACCAGCGATAGAGTAGGGAGCAGAAAAGGCAGACTGAAATACACAGCTGAGGGGAGCAGTGGGGAAGACAGGAGAGGTCTGTTGTGCTATGTGGGTAGCTCTCACATGGCCGGCGGGGGTTCAAACTTGCCTGGGGCTCTAACTTGTGCTGCAGTGGCTGTGGACAGCTTCACAGTGCTGTGCTTAACCTGTTGCACCACCAGGGAGGCCCACTTTGGATATTCAGTGCCTAGCAATGCTTAGATTTGGTAATAGACCACATGAACATACCACTCTCCCTTTCAAAGCATTTTCTATCCTTAACTTCCCTATCAAGGTTAAGGGTCCATACTTGCTGTCACGGCAGGATACTCAATTCCTGACCACAGCCTGGGTCTCCTTCCTCCTCAGTACCTCAGATCATCTCCATTTCCTCCTTGCCACCAGCTCATCACTAGGTACAAATGTTGTTCATTCTTTCAACCTACCAATCTAAGCATTTACTGAGCCCTTATTATATGCCAGGTAACTGGGGATACAGCAGATGGGATTGATAAGGTCCTCAAAGAGCTTGTTTGACAAACAAGAAAACAAATCAGCAAAATAAATATGTACAAATTAAACATTACGTAAATCCCCCCAGTTCCCATTTCTAAAAATAATAGCTAAAATAGAGTCCTTCTGTGCACTGTGATAGGTGTCTCACAGACTGTTCTAATCTTTCCAATAATCCTGTTACAAGTCACATTTTTCTCCTATGGAAAGCTGAAACTCCGAGAAGTCACCCTGTCCAGGTGGAAGCTGGATGCCTGCCCAGGTCTGCTGACTTAAGTCTGAGGTCTTCCACTGCAGTCCACTGTCCCTTCTATTCTGTGTGGTCAATTCCCAGCAGACAGAACTGTCTTACAGTATGTATTTTGGGAGAGGGATTTACTAATTTTTTTTGCTAAACAGTTGTGTCCTAGTATAAGAATTATTTCTGGAGATTAGAATGCCTTTACTTAAACCAAACAGCTCTGCAAGTTTCTCTTGGCTTAAGAGCCTAGAAAATAGCCAATTTAATTGACCCAAAAATAGTGCTGTGTCCCATTTTTGGGTCTGTAAGCAGTCATACCTTTGGCATTCTGTAGATAGCTTCTACAGTCTCATATAACTAGACACAGGTCTTGATGAGATTGATTCTTTTTTTTTTTTTAAAGATTTATTTATTTATTTATCCATTCATTTATTTAATTATACAAGCACTGGGTACAGTCAGAAGCCGGGAGGGTGAGAGAATTCACCAGAGCCAGAGCGGGGAGCAGAGCAGGCAGAAGGACCGAAGTACACTGCTGAGGGGAGCAGCGGGTGGCAGGAGAGGTCTGCGCACCATGTGGGACCCTCCTCCGGTGGCCGGGGAGCAGCCGGGGATTGAACCGGTGCCGCTGAGGCTGCGGGCAGCTTCGCAACCCAGCACTCAACCGCTGCGCCACCGGGGAGGCCCTAAAGATTCTTTTTTTTAAAAAAAGATTGATTTATTTATACAAGAACTGCGGTACAGGTCAGAGGCATGGGAGGGTAAGAGAATTCACCAGAGACAGAGCGGGGAGCAGAACAGGCAGAAAGACCAAAGACACTGCTGAGGGGAGCAGCAGGCAAGAACAGGAGAGGTCTGCCTTGCCATTTGGGTTTCTCCCTGGCCGGCCAGGAATTGAACCCGCGCTGCAGAGGCTGCAGAAAGCTTCACAGCTTGGCGCTTAACCCAATGCACCACCGGGGAGGTTCTTGATGAGATTGATTCTAATATCCTCTGCTCACTGCCTAACAGAGATTGGTTGCATTCATGTGGAATGTAACAAAACCCTATTGCAATCCCTGACTTTTACAGGATTTTCCGCCCTCAGCCCTTTCACTCTCCTTTGTAATAGAACTGACCTCGTTTCTCATTACATCTTGGCTCAGGGATGCTGCCATGGCTGGGCAGAGCTGTGTACCATGCCCAGCAACAACTCAGTCACTTGCACAGCTGGGTCAGGATCTGCTCAGGGTGCCTCTCATCAGTGCTGCTGACTGACTGGAATGCCTGCCTTTCCTTCTGCCAAACTGCTGCCTTCTTGACAACCACTGATTGACCCCTCCTGGATTCAGCTGCCTGCATTACCACCGGCTTCAACTTCCTTTGGCACTTCCACACAGAGTTCTGGAATCCTCTATTGGCCAATTCCTGGACTTAACAGTGTTTGAGTCTCTTTGCCATGGGTGGGTCCCTCTACTAGACTGACTACTCCTTAAATACTGTATCTTTTCCTTTTGTCCTCTGAGGCACCCAATTCAAACATATACCAGGCACCATGCTACACCCTAAGGAGGGCCAGAAATCAGATTCAGTTTCTGTGCTGAAGGCAGTATAGCAAGAAAGGCACACTATCTTAAAAGCAACACACTGTGTATGCAAGGTGTGGAGACAGCATTAGGGTAACAGAGAAATCTTAGTGAGATGGGGGAGGGTCAGGGAAGGCTTCCTAGCAGAGATAATGTCTGAACTGGGTTGTTTTTTTTTTAAAAAGAGATTGATTTATTTATGCATACAAGAACTGGGGTGTAGAACAGAGGTGCGGGAGGTGAGAGGATTCACTAGAGACAGAGTGGGGAACAGAATAGGCAGATCTACTGAAATACACTGCTGAGGGGAGCAGTGGGCGAGACAGGCGAGGTCTGCTGCACCATGTGTGTTAGCTCCCTGACTGGGGATTGAACTCGTGCTGCAGTGGCTGCAGAGAGTTTCACAGTGCTGTGCTTAACCCCTTGCACCACCAGGGAGCTCCCTGAACTGGGTTTTCAAGGATGATTAAGTCTGATTAGACCAAATGTTTCTGTTCTCCATATGTGGCTCAGGCCCTGTCCACTGCAGGACCTCCTAGCTGCCTCTAGACCATAGCCCCAGCTGGGACTATTTCAGTTATGATGTCCCTTTATTAAGTCCCCCATTCCTGTCCAGACATTCCTGTTTTTCCTGGGCTCTGGGGGAAGAGAATGGTCATTACTTACTGTTACTAGCTTACTTAGATATTCTGAGATTCAGTTTCCTTATTTATAGAGTCTATCTGATGAGGATATGGCGCAAATGAAGTGAAGTCATCAGATAAAGCCCTTTGTAAATGCTTGCACATGTAAGTGCTCAGTAACATCTGTCACATGTGGACTGTATGTATCTACTAGGTGGAAATAAATATTTGCCCCTCCAAAGATAGCCTTTGCTGTCTCTATCTGTCCTTTTTGCTGCTATTGGCCAAAACTGGCTGAGAATTCCATGGCACTGTGGGTCAGAGGGAAGCACTGAGGGCCACATGGTCCAGGAAATCAGGTTGTTTGAGCCCACGCTCTACCATCGCCAGCTAGGGAAGTTCTTTAACATTTCTGAGTCTCTCTAACCAATGTCAGTCCCTGTCAACTCCAGCCAAGTTGCAGGTGTGCAAGGACTCCCACTCTCCTGGTGGTCCCACCACTATAGCCATGGGCAAAGGGCCACTTGGCCACACGGCCCCTCGGTAACTCTTTTCCTGCCAGCAAATGAGGAACAGGTGGAGGGTCCCACCAGTCGGCTGAGGCCTTACAGCTTCCATAATGGCTTTCATTTCTGATAGATGGCTAGGGAAACTGGCAGTCTCCTGCAGCTGTGGAGTAGGGCCAGCCAACCAGCTGGAGCCTGCCCTCTTACCTCCTTCTGGCCTGCTCTGTTGCCCAGACTGGGCCCTGTTTTTACGTGTACTGCCCTGGCCATCACCCCACACTTCTTGCTCCACACTCCTGAAACAGTTCACCCTCTCCTCTTTCTTTGGCAGGAACACTGTGCCTCTGCCATACTAATTGCAGCTTTGGGCCAGCCATTCTACCTCTTCCCTGACCTGGATGTGGAGAGACCTACTCACAACCTAAGTCCCAGAGGCCTGAGCTGCCCTAGAGGCACCTTCTACCTCCCGCAACACAGTCCTGCAAGGAGGAATGAATGAAGGAGCTGTTCCAGGTGAAACACAAAGCCTCCTAACACGTAAGGGATTCTTTTTCTTCAAACAGTTGAGGATATTTGCCCTAAATTAGGCTGGGGACCTCTTTCCAGAGCTGCTTTTGCCCCTCTCTCTGTCTAAGCCCTGTGCGTTGGTGGTTACCTGGCCTCTTCTCGGCTTTGTTGAAAGGTTTTCAGTAAAACTACCACCTGAATACATGAATCTAAACATAACAACAGCAGTTATCACAGTCTCAACCTCATAAGATGGGGACTGCTATCATCACCATTTTATAGATATCAAAACTGAGGCTTTGGTATCTTACCCAAGGCCATACAGCTGAGAGGCAGAGCTGTGTTTCTACCTACGAGCCACACCATCTCTGTGGCTGACACCCATACAACTCTCCAGAGTACCGCTACTCCTTCATTTTCCAAAATGGGACCTGGACTGCTCATGGGCTGGGGTAGGGGGGCTTAATAGCAATACATGGTTGAGTCAAGCTTTCTGCCCCTCCACCCTCAATGTCTGGGGAGGACCAGAAGGTCCTAGGAATTGGGATCAGGGGTTACTAGAATACACAAGTACAGGCCCTTGAAAGTCAGGAATCAGTTGCCCCCCCTCCCACCCTGGCTGTTTGACCCCTCCCCACCCTCACTAGCACTGGCTCTTCCTGCTGTCTCTGCAGGCAAACTGGGACAGCTCTGACAGTTGGCACCTCCTGAAGGAGGCACCAGTCCTGAGAGGTGATGACTGGATCTATTCCTGCTTTCTTAACACTTCTATTCTGAGGCAGCTCTTGCTGCTATTAGGGCCATCACAGTCTGCCTTCCCAGGCCTTCTGGCCTCCCATTTCCACCTCACAGGCTAATTCCAGACCTGCTACAGGCTGATCCTCTCCCGGGAAGCCCCCTCACCTGGTGTCATAGTTGTTGGTGTTCCTATCAAACTTGTAGGTGGGTGGGAAGAGCAGGGGGCCCTCCTGGAACTCCCGGAGCAGTGGGTCACATTTCTTGGCAATGCTGAGCTGTAGAGAAAGGCACAGTCCCATCTCCCAAGAATCCTGACCCACTGGCTTACCATACCAGATCCATTCAAGAGCTAGCACATGCCTTCATGAATGAGTGGGGCAAGATTCAAGCAACGCCACTTCCTCACTGGGTGCCTCAGTACCCCACCCCCTAAGAGAAAAGCTGAATTCTTCCATAAACAATACCCTACAGCCTGCCATTTCCCATTCCTTGGACCATACAGATCAGGCTTTGAATTTCATCTCTCTGGAAGAGATGTGTCAGAAGGAAAGCTGGGGCACCCAAAGTCCCCCCAAAGGGTGGTATCTCATCTGCCAGGAGGCAAGCAAGCCTGGGGATGGGAATGACAATAGGCATATAAGAGGGTTGGTGCAGTGCAGGCCAAAGCCTTTCTGGCTCCCATACCTGGCAGCTACAGCCCTTAGACTCCTCCCTGTCCAGGAACAGGGATTTGGGAACCCTGGGAAAGAACAGGTGCTAGGGAACCTGAGCAATGCACCACACATTTCATGTTGGACCTCTTCCAGGGCTCAGATCACCCCTCCGCATCCTCCCCCGATTAGATACCTACCTGATCCTTCTCCCACAGGTCACTGTAACACTCATTTTTTATGGCTTCCCGAACAAACTGCATCCCAAGGTCCTCAATCCGAAAGTTCATGTCTCCAAACCAGAGAATGAGGCTTCAGAAAGGAAGGAAGTCAGCCTAAGGGTCTATAATGGACAGGGCATGGACCCAACAGGACTGTACTAATGACTTTTACCCTACCATTTAAGCGAAAGCGTTCATCCTAGAGGGCAGATGGCAAATATGGAGCATCCTCTAGCCCACCCTTCCTCCTGCTCAACTGGCACCAAGCAAGGCTGAGAAACAGCCCTTCAGGTGATCTCAGGAATCACAAGGTTCCTTGACCTGGGATGTTTAGAAGTGTCCAGGGTTTCTAGAAGGACAGTGCATGGTAAGGGGAGGGGACCTGGACCCAAGCTGGCAAAAACTTAACAGGAGAGCATATGATTCATCTGGGAGGAGTCTGGGAGAGACTGGGACATGAAACACAGACTAACTGGTTGGGAAGCTCGCCTGGGTTGGTATGGGGGTGAGGGCAAGGGCGGCAGTTCGCAATTGCATGCTCACTCATGGTCCAGGATGTTGGGGATTTCTTGACCGTCAAAATTCTGCATCTCCAGGATTCGGTCAAAGTGTTCTAAGCGCTGGTCGTTGTTGCCCAGGTGTGGGGGCAGGTGGCAGTTGATGATGCTGACATAGTAGCCGTAAAGCTTCAGGCAGGTATTGACGCCCCCTTTGTTCCCCTGGTAGGACAGGTGGGCAGAAGGGTGGGAAACACCTCTCTTTTCCCATCCTAGGCCTGAGGGGAGATGATGGTCTCACCTCCTGCAGGATCTCTCAGAGCCAGACACTCAGCTCCTCAGAGTGACCTCTCTGTCCCCAGAGCCCAGCTCACCCAGCCCAAGGTCTCAGGGATGTGCCCTCTGAGGTAAGAAAGCAGGTAGGCAGGGCACTGGCCCAGACAGAGTGCAACGCTGATTTTACCCCTTGTTCCCGGTCCTTCCCAGTGAAGGGAGGCCCCCCCGTCCATGATATACAGAACAGTTTGGTTCTTACCCAGTACCCAAAAAGGCCGGTGGGGGTAGATTTAGTAGAGAGGATCTGGATAAAGGGCAAATGCTGATACTTGGCAAAGACCAGTAAGAGGAGTCCCTGCATGCGGACACAGGAGACCTGCAGGACAGGGAGGGCAATGGTCATGCATTTCTCTGCACAGGCTGAATGTATCCCTGCCAGGCCCTACACTAGGGGTTCTAGAGGGCTCTGAGCCACATACAATCCATGCCCCAGGGTCTATGGTATCTCAGAGTGAGTCTCAGAGTTTCACTCCCCTTAGCTACCAAATGATGCATTCTGGGAGGTGGGAAAGTTTTGGTTTCTGTCCTTGGGCCTTAGGGTAGAGGTGAGAGAACACAAGGCCTCTGGGAAACCCTGGCAACAGGAGGGCATCTTCAGAGGTAGTCCCATTCATGCTAGGTGCTCCTTTCACAGATGCCCTTGGGAGGTCCTCTAGATACTCTTGGGTTGGCAACCTGAGGGCAAGGGCCTTCATGAAGAACATAGCTATATAGAATAGTGGTTAGTTAGTGAGATCTGAGCTCAAATCCTGGCTTGGACTCAGCATTTTATATGGAACAAGTATCTCAGCCTATTTTCTGATTGATAAAGCAGGAATCTATCTCATAGATACTAGAAGGATTAACTGGCGGCTATGATTTTTTGGTTTAAAGATTTTTTTTTTAAAGATTTATTTATTTGTGCATACAAGAACGGAAGTACAGGCCAGAGGTGTGAGAGGATTCACCAGAGACAGAGTGAGGACATACAATGCTGAGGGGAGCAGTGGGCAAGCGCCATGTGGGCCACCTCCCTGGCCAGGGATTGAATTCGTGCTGCAGCAGCTGCAGATAGCTTTATAGTGCTGACGCTTAACCCCTTGTGCCACCAGGGAGGCCCCAGTTTAAGGATTTTTTCCCCCCATTTTTAAAATTTTATGTATTTTTTTATATCATTTTTCATTTTTGCACAATGTATGCATTTTCATCTTGGTTATAGTCCCCATACAATTCCCACCCCCCTTGTTTTGATCCTACTCCTTCCTCCCCCCAGCCCCGAATTTAAGGATTCTTTTTTTTTTTTTTAAAGATTTATTTATTTATACAAGCACTGGGTACAGTCAGAAACGTGGGAGGGTGAGAGAATTCACTAGAGCCAGAAGGGGGAACAGAACAGGCAGAGTGACGAAATATACTGCTGAGGGGAGCAGCGGGCGGCAGGTAAGGTCTGCGCACCATGTGGGACCCTCGCCCGGCGGCTGGGGATCGAACCTGCACTGCAGAGGCTGCGGGCAGCTTTGCAACCCAGCGCTCAACCGCTGCACCACCAGTGAGGCCCCGAATTTAAGTATCCTTAAAAGCCAATGCAGGGAAAGGATATCAGAGAGCCTTCTGGGGTGCTGGAAATATTCTGTATCTTGATCTGACTAGTAACATGGGTGGATATACATATAAAACCCCATCAAACTATATACTTAATTTCTGCAGACCTTACAGCTCAGTGAAAAACAATGAAGACAATATCTTCCCCCCTTTCCCTCCCCCAAATAACTGTAGATTGTGGGCAGCTGACTGTCCATGAAGGCAACGCAGAGGGAGGGCGTAAGTATGAGTGTTTACAGGTTGTGGGGAATAGCTACCATCAATTGGTACATTTCATATTGAATTCAATCTTCACACGAACCCTATAAGGAACCACTGTTCTGTTTAACAGATGAAGGACTAAGGCCAAAGGAGACCACGGCATCAGTAGGACTACCTGTGCACGACATCCAAGGAGTAGGCCTGCCCAATTCTTTGTTCTCTGTGCTCATGGAGTAGGAGTGGGAATGGTCACAGCCAGTGACCCTCTCCTCTCTCAGCTTCAGGCTGCCTACACCTACCACCCGAGTAGCTGTTTCCGGAGCAAGAGGTGCAGAGGCCAAGGAGGAAATCCCCGGGTGGGGAGCCTGACTGGGGCCTTCCAGGAATTATGAAACTTGATCCCGCAGGCCAGGCACTCTGGCACAGTGAAGGAATCAAAGCAGGGGGAACCCCAAAGCCAAGACTTAAGTAAGGGAAGCATGAGAGCCCAGGGTTGGGTAGATGTTGCTACAAATGTGTCTGACCCCACTCTCTACCTCTAGTCCTGATTTCTCCTCTTCCCATGTATATGGGATAATGAAAATGGGGGAAAAGGCTGGACTATGAGGAACAGATTCCCAGGGAACTGAAAAAGATTCAACTTAATCCTAATCTCAGAGCAGGTTAGGGTGACTGAGCTCTACCACAAAGGCACCAGTTCACTTTGGAAACAGGGAGGGGGCAAGGAGGCTTGGTGAGAAGGAGGGTGGAGTGGGACTGCAAAGTCTCAGATTGGGAGAAAGGGTGTGGCTGCAGGGAAAGGCAGGAGACTAGGAGGGGAAGTTCTAGTTGAAGGAAATGAAGTAGGAGGAGCTAAGGAAGGGTCTAGAGGGGAGGTGGCTCAACCTGTGGTTGGCAAATTCCTGTTTAAGGAATAGGCGGCAAGCAGGACTCAACCCTTCCCCTCAATTCATGGCTGGGGGAAGGAGGGTCATCTGCTTTGGGTGTCAGGTCCTCAGGCTGGTCTTCCAACCCCAGGAGGCTGCCTAGGTAGAAGGGGTTGTGTCCCTGCTACAAGCTGAGCTAATTTCCTTGGCTCAATTCCATTCTACCAATTCCCTGCCAGTGAGCCTGCAGTACTGGGAAGGAAGTAGGGTGATGAGAGAAGTGGTTCTGCCCTGTAAAAGGATCAAGCTCCAAATTTGTGGGAGGTGATTTGGAGTGATCCAAGTGCTGTGGGGCTGGCATTTTCTAGCCCTCGGCAGTAGGGCCATATCTCTTATTCCCTCTTCCCAGCTTTGCCCTCCTCAGGAAGATTCATAGTTCCTGCCTCGGCACCCACAGCCAAACTAGGGTAAACAATTAATTCTGAAGAAATCGTCACCCAGGGTAAAGAATCAAGGTCTTCTGGTATTTTCAAGAAGCACTGCACCAGATGCTTTAAAGAGTGTGTGTTTCATCCCTTAGCTATGCAGGGCAGAGAAGTTATGAATGCTGCAATCTACACACTTCCTGTGGATTCTCCTAATGTCTAGAGACTTTGCAAAGAATATGGGTTCTTCAGACTGAGAACCCCTTTCCTTTATACTAGCCTTCCCTTTTATACTAGCCTTTTATATTAGCCTCTGGGGCCCTAAGAATTTGAGGTGCATATACTCCATGCCCAGAGGACACCCTCTGATATCAGCCTGGTATCAGCAGGCTAGCTATGGGATACGAATCAGTTTTAGATTTCCTACTATAGCAATACAGTATAATAGTTAAGATACCTATATTTCAAGAGAGTTCAGACATTAAAAGAATGTATGTAAGAGGGCCTCCCTGGTGGCGCAGCGGTTGAGCGCTGGGTTGCGAAGCTGCCCGCAGCCTCTGCAGCAACGGTTCGATCCCCGGCTCCTCCCCGGCCACCAGAGGAGGGTCCCGCATGGCGTGCAGACCTCTCCTGCCACCCGCTGCTCCCCTCAGCAGTGTACTTTGGTCCTTCTGCCTGCTCTGCTCCCTGCTCTGGTGAATTCTCTTACCCTCCCGCGCTTCTGACTGTACCCAGTGCTTGTATAAATAAATAAATCTTTAAAAATAAATAAATAAAATAGTAACTTTCCCCACCCCTTACCTTGTTAAAAAAAAAAAAGAATGTATGTAAGAGCTTAGTTGACACAAAACACTAAGCAAACACTGGATAAGTGGTAGCAATTATCATACTCAGAGATTTCAGTCTGGTAGAAACTGAAGGCTGGGGTAGGATAGGCACTGAGGTCTATGCCTGTTATGCGTCCCTTAGGAATTTTCTCAACCTGAAAAATATCAAGGTGTTAAACTAACACCTGGGTCACAATTTTCAGCTCCAGCTACTTTAGAAAGGCACAGGTAGGCAGGAGCTCCAGGGAGCCAGGTGCAGCTGAAGTAAGGCTTTATATAAATGAGAAATAGCATAAAAACCTTATAGGGAGGGCCTCTCTGGTGGCACAAGGAGTTAAGACGCAACCCATGAAGCTGTTCACAGCTACTGCAACACGAGTTCGATCCCCGGCCAGGGAGGAACCCACATAGCGAGGCAGACCTCACCTATCTCACCTGCTGCTCCCCTCAGCAGTGTATTTCAGTCAATCTGCCTGTACTGTTTCCTGCTCTATCTCTGGTGAATCCTCTTACCCCCCGCACCTCTGGCCTGTACCCCAGTTCTTGTATGCATAAATAAATAAATCTTAAAAAAAAAAAAAACTTATAGGGAGGCCAAAGGACTGTGATTAGTGACACCAGGTGAGACACATTTTCCAACTGCCCATGAACTTGTAAGTTACCTTGACGAAGCATAGAGGGGAAAGCACATCCATGAAGAAATTGCTCCATGAGTCTTCAAAGGCAGTGTCAGAAAGGAGGCTCATGATCCCATAGTTCTTTTCCTGCAAACTGTCCATCCCAAGTCAGAAGGTGCCCCCCTGATCTGGAGGGTACTGCCTCTGCCAGAGATATTTAGTACTGCCCTCACCAGAATTTCAAGCCTTGGGTTCTGCTCTCCCTCCCCTAGATGCTGACTGCCAACCCTCTGCCATTGCAGACCCAAGACAAGAGATACTGACTGGCCTTGATGCAGGCTGAAAGGTCTTAGTGTTCAGACTCCAGAGTTTATAGGGGTTTCCTATGGGATAGCTTGGGACTGGTCAGGTTTAGCTGGTATCTCCGATAAAGGGATGGGTTAAAGGACGCTGCATGCACCTACCCAATGACATACATGTCCAGATTCAGGTTCTGATTGTTCAGCTGCAGCAGATCATTCAGGTCTAGAGGGGGTGCTGCAGAGGCCACATTCCATGTCACAACGTGCAGGCTATGGAAGGAATGCAAAGGGAAGAAGTGGAGAAAAAAGAATCTTTGTGTCCAAGTAATAGACAGGGGTACTAATGACTGTACCACTGTAATCATAATAGGAAATGAGAGTTTCTGCATCTGCTGATGAGAACAGGGCATTGAACTATAAATTTTTTGTCATCTTCCCCTTTATGACTTTGAAGCAGAAAATTCCCACCAGGCATTGGCTTCTCCAGGCAGGCCCACAGCTGCCCATACCTGGCAGGACTGGTGCTGCTGACAATGGGATAGCTGCCAAAATGGGCCCAAAGGATTCAGCATCAATCAAAGGAAGTGGGGAGGAGGGGAAGAGTAGATACCCAGGCATTTATTAATTTCACCAGCAATTTACATCTCAGCAATTATATACGGCTCAGTCAGCACCTTCACAGGCCCCACTCTTCAATCCACAGGTTCCTAAAACTAGCAGAAATTCTGGAGCTTCAATTTTCACCTTGTGAGATGCCTCAGCACTATACGAGGGGAATTAAAAAAAAAAAAAATACAGCATCACATTCTTTACTCCATCCCAGAAGATCACTGGAACACAACCAATTCTGGGAGCCTAAGGAGGAAGATTGTAAACAGGTTTCTCAAAATCTCTCTCAAGAGTCTTCCCTCTCTTGGGGAAAGTCATCCCCACTTCTACTTTATTTAAGGCCTAGGGAAGCAACAGCACTAGATCAGCAGCTTCCAAGAAAACTGGATCATGTCAAGAAGCTCAGGAAAAGGAGAGACCTGCAGATCTCTTCAACTGAATAGTCAAGCAACACTTGGAGGAAGCCCCAGACCCTGCAAAGACCAAGAACAGCAATCCTAGGTACAGCATGAGAAGGACCTGCAGCAGATGAAAATCTAGAACAGGAGAGGGTACAGGGGGATGGAAGAAAAGGGCAGGATGTCCCCAAAACATCTCTTTTCCACCAACCCTTGTTCTTAGAAATTCACATTCTAAAAAAGCACAGCTGAAAGGAACTCTAGACCACTTAGAGTAACTTCCTGCCTCTCCCTAAGAACAGCAACAAAACAATACAAAAATCACCTTCCTAGGCACTCAGCCAGAGATTCAGCAATTCATTTGTTTACGGTCTCCCCCTGCTGTCCAACTGAAGATTAAGGAAGGCAGTCCTTTTATTCCAAGGCCCCTGGTTTTTCCAGGTACTCATTCTAAGTGAATCTAGAGCAAAAGCAGGCATTCTTGTCCCCACTTTCAGGCCCCACAATTAGCAGCAAATTCTTGCATCGTGACTTGCACTAAGTAGGTGATTAGAGTTGTTCCTCTTCAAAGAGTAAGCATGAGATCAGACACTATCACTTCACTAGGAACCTTATCTAGGTCAGATTGCAGGAGGTCACAAGGTGATCAGACAGACTCCATAATGTATATACTGATCACAAGAAGGAACAAGAATTCCACTGAGCTGAGGGGAGAATGCTGTTATGTTTTGAACCTCAAGTAGCCCAACACGATTACTACCTCCAAATGCCAAGTGGGACACCTTCTTGGGGTGGTCCCGACCTCGGCGGAGTGAGCTTGGAGGCGGCGCGCGCGTCAGGTCTCACAATGCCCGGTTCACATTGGCCTGGGAGAATTTGGGGGCCTCTGAGCCAGAAGCAGCCGCTTGCCCCAGACCCGTAGTCCCAACTGGATCTGAGGCAATGATCTCGCCCCCGGCAGGCCGGCGAGTCCGCCGCAGCCTTCCTCACCTGAGCTTCCTGCCTTTCGGTTCTGTCGGCGTCCGTGGGTTCACGGTCGCCATCGTCCCCACGCGGCGGCCCAGCCGGCTCGCGAGTCCCCGCCCCAGGCGGTCCTGGCCTGACAGCCCCCTCCCGGCCGCAGATCCAGGCCAGCTCCCGCTCGCCGCCGGAATGTTTTTCTTCCGGATTCTGACCCTCCGCCTCGGCTCTTAAGAGGCGGGGCCTGAGCGCCGGGAGGGCTCTGGGTGGTGCGACTCGGGAGAAGGGGCGGGGCTGTCCGGCGAGCGCGAAAAGGTGAAAGGCTGAGAGCGAAGGCCCTTCGGGAATCGGGGACGTCAGAGAGGCGGGCCTTCGGGTCATCAGCACTCTACGTAACACTGCCCCGCCCGGCGTGCGAGGGCGCGCCCGCCCAGACGCCGACGCCGCGGCGCCTCCGCCCACCCGCGGCTCCCAGGGAGCCCCGCGCGAGGCCGGCCGGGAGGAGTGTCTTCCGGCGGAAGCGCGCGCCGCACCCGCGCCAGCACGCTCCTCCTCGTCGCCTGTCAACGGTGACGGACTTGGGCTCTGACCTCGGCGCTGCCCTCCCTCCAGCTTCCCAAAGCCCGGAAACCCAAAGGGCGGGGGTGGGGTGAGCTGGGTTACTACAGCTACTGTCCAGCCCCGCCCCCGCTGCAGGTAGTCCTCACGTTGGTCATTGAACTCCGTTCATAGGTTTCCACTCCCACTAAGTGATTTTTTTTTTTTTTTTTGCTTTTCAAATTGAACATTAGGGGGTTACTGGACTCTTAGACATCAATGAATGAAAAATCAGCCACTGCCTTTATTTTACGGCCAAATATGAAATGAAGATTATTTACTTTGCCAAAGATTCACTATGATTTCCTTTTAATCACTGGTTCTTAAATATTTTTTAGAAGTGGGAATGGGGGAGGGAAGGATGGTGCAGGGGATTACTTTGAAGATCGAATGAGAGCCATGATTTCCCCCAGAATATGCACACATAGTTTTACAAATTTCATGAGGCTCACAGACTCGAAACCAAGAACTCATACTTGAAACGTTTTGCTTGGCAGGATGGGAAAAAGATGTGAGGAGGGAAAGCAACAGCATGAAATAGAAAATGGTCAAATTATTTTCAGATAAGCAATGTTTCTGTAAATAACAAGGGTATAATTTACCTGCAAAAATTTTCAGAGCTATCTTTTACCTTTTCCTAATTCTTCCCTGGTATGAGGGACATCAACCAGAGTTTGAGGAGTTCTAAGTTGTAAAATGGCCATAAGGACATCACCAATAAGCTGGACTCCAGAAAGCTCTGTCTAGGATTTTATTAGACTGCTTCCCCCCTACCCCAATATACCTGTATTGGAAGATTGAGACAAAAAGGCACAAACTCACATTAAATAAACATGTAATCTAATCAAGTCTACAAAGTGAATTTTGTAAAAGTAGCACTAGGAACAAACCAAAATAATTCAGGGAGTCCCAGCAGGGACTGTAAGAGAAACTGGGAAGATATACATGTGCCCACAATACTGACCCTGTCCCTGACCTCTGGGTGAGAGTCAGAGTCCAGCACCCCTCCTACAGAGGCACTGCTGCTTCCAACTGGGACTATGACCCTGCAAATCTAATGGAAGCCGCTGGTCTGAAGGGGCGTGGCACATCATCAGGTACTACCCTTGGAGCTGAGGCTTTCATCATAAGCCCCTCTGGTAGTCAGTTTTGGGGGGGTTGGTTAGAAGGAAAGGGGGTTACTTAAAAGAGGCCAACACTGTTGCCCAGCAGCAACACTATCCATGGGGATGAAATAGACCAGGGACATTCCTCCTTTATATTTATGTGAGCAGAGCCCCAGATCTAGGCTGACTTCAGGAAATTCTAGCTCAGCTTGTGTGGATGCTTTCAAACTGGGGCAACAGGGTGGAGGTGGGTGGAGCCAGAGAAAAGGTAGATAAAGAGCGAGCCCCCACTAGAGCTAAAGTGATATGCTATGGATCTCAAATGAGAGCTGAAGGAAGGAGTCCTCTGCTGACCCTCAAACCACATGAACAACTGTCTGCTTAGAATTATCTTCATTTGTTTCTCCCAGGATAATCTACCTCTGGATTTCACCTAGTTGATGAATGAAAAAGGGATAGCTGTAAGCACAAATATAATTATAGCTAATACAGAGCTTATAGGAAAACATTTACATTTTTCTCCAGTTGGCATGCCTCTTCAGCTTTCCCAGTCAAATGCTACCAGCAGTTGTGATGCTAATAACCAACTGAATTGCTGCAGATTTGTTACTAGAGACCCCATAAGGTGAGGAGACTAAAAGGAAGGTGAAAGGGGACAGCTCTTGGTTCCAAAGGGGCCTCAATGTAGGTCAGAGTTAACCACAATAGGAGTCTGATCTCTCCATCCTTGTCCCAAGAGGGTCACAGGGAAGCATCCATTAGGATGTCACAGGTACAATCCTGAGACACTACCTTATTGCACTTAGAAATGAGTAAGGCAAGACAAATTGACAAAAACATAAAGGGTAAATCACCCCATCCTACTTTTTGCTCCCCAGAGAGATTTGGTCTCTCATAGCAGTTGCATCCAGGCTTGCATGAGCTTGGGTCACTGCACACTTGGCCAACGTACTTCACTAGGTTTGGGAAATGTCAGGTGGTACCACAGCTATCTCAGACTCTCCCAGCAGAAGGCATACTCAGGTTTTGCCAGGTCACAGAAAACAAAGTACTTAGCTTCTATTCCCTTAGCCTGGACTCTCACCAGCCTACTTTGGTAGAGTTCTGTACTATAATCATTACCTGATTTTGATTGTCTAGGGCAGAACTCAGCACAGGGGCACAGGAGCTGAGTTCTTGATCCCCCACATTCCTTTCCAGCAACTGGAAACAAGAGGACACATATTGTACTGGGAAAAAGCTTTTTGCATGCGTTTTTTGCAGCATGAAAGATTAGGACTCTTGTATCCTGACCAGCCTCAAAGACAGAGGACGGGAATCTAAGAAAGCACAGAGAAAAGAGGATTATTGCTGAGTGGCAGCACCAGCCCAAAAGGGAAGAGGAGCATGGACATACAGAGCTCCCCAGGGTGGCAGACTAACTAGTATATATGGGGCAGACTCAATTCTAAGGGCCACACTGGACAGGTCCCTCCAGGTAGAGTTGACCTGGGCAAATTACGGCTCAGCAGAGAGATTCAGACAGAGTGGGCAACAGGAGGGCTGAGAAGCCATGGGTGTTTCTAAGAATAGTGGCCAGAGATGCAATGTCTGGGCAGGGGTTATTTGTATTTGTAAAGATTTCACAAACAGACTGGCTGGGCCTTGGGTACTTCCCTGGTGCCTACAGCACTCTAACAATGGGACACTGGGGGCAGAGGTCAGAGTAATGAAGCCACACTGTTATTCTATGGAATTGGGGGGGGGGGACTCTAATTTTTAACTCATCCCCCTGTCCCCAGGTGAGCATTCAAAACAGCAAAGATCTGCCCAGGAAGCAAAATACCTTATTTATCCCAAGGTTGAAAACAAACAAAATTTATATCATTTAAATCACCACATCGCAAAAGTCAGCTATTTTGAAAGACTAAAAATGTCACTTGGAAATAAAGGGTGGGGGGGGACACACAGAAATGGGTGAAAACACAACATGAGAGAGAGGAGCTGTAAAGACAGCAACCTACACGCCACATATCTCAGAGGAGCAGGCTCCCGTACACACGGGCTTCATAATACCAGACGGTCTATTTGTTCACAATATTAAAGGGCATCTAGAATCAGCTACAGTAAGGGATGGAAAGTTGCCTGAAGAATGGGCACAGAAAGGCTGCGTCCGAAGATGGCCTGTCACTCGGGAGGGTGGAGCTGCTGGGCCTTCCTGTTGACCACTGTCTTGCAAAACTAGAAGAGAAATACAATTATTAAGGAAGCAACAGGGGAAAATAGAAACACATTGTAAATCATTACTGATGGAAGAATTTCAAAAGGAGGAAGGATGCCAGTTGGTGTGGTAGGGGGTGGAAGGAGAGAGGAAACTAAGGTCCAAACCGTGACGGAGAAGCTGACATTGCAACAATCCCTTCATGCTACCCTCCTATCTCCCAGAAGTTCTCCTCAAGCACATCGGGCAGGGAGAGAGAGAGGTCTACATCACTGCTGGTGACACCCAGGTCTCCTCAGCTCCTTGGTGCTATAGGACAGCCAGTATTTATTCAATAAAGCAATCCTTTCTCAGAGTCCGGTGGGAGCAGAGTGAGGTTTTTCATTCCATGATCAAGCCCACTCTAAGATGCTGGGAAGAGAGCAAGTCTGGAGGTGTGCAGAGCACTGGGGGACCAGCGCTAGGAACTAATAGAAGGAAGGAGCTTGGGGAAAAGCGACAACATGAAACAAGGACATACAGGTCCTATGGCCTGGACAGAAATACTCTCCAAGCATCTGAAGGAAGCTGGCTCTGCTGACGACAGCTACTTAGTATGGGATCAAGGGATATGAAGAAGGAAAATAAGCCCAGACACAAGGATGAATGCTAGAAGAGCAGTCTGGTCAGCAAATTTTCCAGGGGAGGGGCAGGGAATGCAAACAGGAGTTAGGAACTGGCTCTGGCATGGGAGGTATAGGGAGCACCCCAAAATGCCTATTTCAACTTGAGATGATTTAAGTTATAAGAGGAAGAGAGCAGGTAAGTTTTGATTCTGCATCCACCCCCACCTACGCCCCCAACCCTGTCTTACCATCCTGTCGGTCTCTATCTAGGTAGTTCTTTATAAAAATCACATCTTCCTGAAATAGTCTACATCATAATCTCTTTCAAATGGAAGCCTGAGAGTACAGCAAGCCTATTAGTGATAGTCATCACTATTACTAGAGGGCAGGATGAGGAAAGAAGCAGGTTTTCTGACTCCACAGTGAACTGCTGAGGCCCTGAGGACCTACAGACTTGTGTATGTATGATATGTAAGCAATTCAGTACATACAGTGCAGAGGGGGAGGGGTGGCTTTAGTCATCTGCTGTCATTCCTTTCACTGGGTCCTTTTGTCTCATCTGGAAGAGAAAACACAGGAAAATTTGAAGGCTCTTGCTACCATGGAACTCCAGCACAAACATGTCCTGCTTTATCAACCCTGCCAAAAGATAGGGTAGAGCATTTTTTATGCACAAAGCAAATCAGAAATATAGAATTCTGCACATATAGCCAAAGTAATACCATTTATGTCTCTGTCACTGGTTCCCCCCATCCATGATTTCTACTTCTCCCTGCCTCCCTGGATTGGATGTTTAGTTATTAAGTTCTCCTCTCTCTCATTCACTCAGCAAATATTT